TACAAATATGATATGATCTTGTGGGCCACATATAATTGTTCCACAGGCCAGATTTGGCCCCCGGGCCTTGAGTTTGACACCTGTGCTCTAGAGCGAGGGCCCGCTGCTTCTATAATATAAAAGAGATTTTCTAAGTCATTTGGAATAAAATGATTATGATCTCCCATTAAATAGAAACTACTTTAATCATGTTTTTGCAGAATACATTGTTTGTCAAATTCCTCTGTTATTTCCCAGATCATATCAGCGCTGGTAAAAAAAAAAAAAAAACAATCAGAATGCTCTAATGGTGTTTACACAAACTCTACAGAAAACATCAACACAGTACAGGAAACCATCCACAATGTCCACTAAACCGAACCATCTGGGAAAACAAGCATTCGGCATGACTCCTGTGTCCCAGACGAGTGTGTTTATATCGGGTCTGAGCAGTTTCGTTCAAGTGAAATCAAAATAATTCAAAGAAACTTTCATCTGGGAGAGTGAAAGTAATGTTAACATTCACAGAGGGAGTAAGTGAATTTAAGAGTCCCCCAGAAAAGGGAAATATCGCCCTCTTGTGGGGAGAATAGCAGGTTTTTGAAACACTGCAGAAATACAAATACTTAATGAATGAATCATCTTGACATGAATATATAACCTCCGCCCAACCAAAAGTGTCCCTATGTCAAAGATATCTGTTTATTCGTCTATTGTTAATGTAAGGTGTTGTTATCGATAAGGTGAGGCAGAGGTTGTGGGGATTTTTCTGTAAGTTTGTTTGTATCTAAATCAGACTCACTGATAAAGTGAGACTCTTACCCCCTACAACACACACTCACTGCACTGAGGAGCTCCTTAAGGGACAGGATACTCCACCCGAAGTGTGTGACGGAGAGGTATCGCAGGTCATTCCTTCTTGCAGCTGTTAGACTCCACAACAGAAACCTCAGTGTACAATAAATCATATTTATATGTACTGTACAGTTGAGGCCAAAATTATTAGTCCCCCTATGAAATTTTAAGTTTTTTTCTAAAATTTCTGAAGTGCTGTTCAACAGATTGATGATTTTTTTTCACAGCTTTTCCAAATATCCTAGTTTTATTTGGGATCCTTACATTATTGAACTTTGCACACAGAAACAAAATTATTTCACAAAAATCAAAAACTACCACGGTCAAAATTATTAGCTCCCTTAAGAATTGACATTTTTATTGAGAAACAGAATTGTTGATGCTCACAAAGCAGGAGAAGGATATAAAAATGTATCACAGCGTTTCCAACTGTCAAGAAGTGGAGTGAGAAGAATCATCAAGAAATTCAAGGAGAGCCACACAGTACAGAACAAGTCTGGGAGAGGTAGGAAGCAAAAATTTTTAAAGAAACTGGAAAGAAAACTGGTGAGAGATGTGTCTAAACAACCTAGAACAACAACCAAAACAGAAGTTGGTGACTTAGTGAAGTCAGGAATTGTGGTGTCAAACAAGACAGTCTCTAGAGCCCTGAACAGAAATGGACTACAAGGATGCAGGCCAAGAAAAACTCCACTTCTACAAAAGAGACACCTTCAAGCCAGACTGAGGTATGCTAAGGACGATCTGGAGAAAAATTGTGCAAACTGGAGACGTGTTCTTTGGTCAGATGAGACCAAACTAGAGCTCTTTGTTCACAGAGACATTACTTATGTTTGGAGAAAGAAGGGAGAGGCGTATATATAGTCGTTATATACATACATATATATATATATATATATATATATAGGACCTTATTTGTATGGCACTTCTCATACAAAAAATGCAATTTAAAGTGCCTCACAGAGGCTAAAAACAACAATAACGACAATAAAACCCACAACCAGGAACAGCCTGTATTTATGCTGCTGTGATCTGAAGTTCCCCCTGTGCGACTAATAAAAGAATAACTTATCTTATCATATAAGGTATTACTAGAGTCAAATGTGCATGAGTGAGACCAATCTAAGGTTAATACACAGACACAATCAGCAGTGCATTTTTAACTTGGCAACTCTGATTTCCAGTCATTAGTGTTACCTGGTTCATGGGATTGGCTCTCACGAGGCTGATATCACCACGACCTTTGTTAATGAAAAGCTCAAATCTAATCCAAAACAGTCTTATGTTACAAACAGAACAGACGGACATCCTGTTGGATTGAAGTATCAGTCAAACCAAGAATCCTGCACCATACGGATGTTGGTATGGTAAAGTATTTAGAGCTGCGGAAAGTTTATTCCTTCCTGTAGTTGTCAGACTCCACAACAGAAACCTCAATGTGCAATAAATAAAATTATTATGTATATTCTGTACTCATGTGAATATCTTTTTTAACTCTAAGATTCTATATCCTTTAATTTCTCTTTTTGCGTCTATACTATACATGTGGAATTTCCCCCTGTGGGGCTATAAAAGAAACATCTTATTTTATGTTATCTTGATTATAAAGATACAAACATCATCAAGACCTTGAATCAAAGCTCACGAACTTGGAAAGTTTTTTTAAATATAAATGAGGTCGTCATTTGAACATAAGATGTTACAAAAACAACCAACAACCAGCGCATTGTTGTGAAATTAGCAGAAATAAATTAAAGACTAGAGGCGACAAGCACCAGAATCTTATTAACTTACTTTCCACTATGTTTCAAGAAAATCTATACCAATTCATCATCCTCTGACATGAAACCCAACAGTTACGACTTATTTCCTGGATTTACACTGTGACACTGAAAGCTCTTGTCAAAAGTTTTCTCTACACATCACAGTGAACGTTCCGTCTCGTAACTTCATCCAAGAACATTTCCACTGTGTCTGATCACAGCTGTGACCTTTGTCTTGTTTTAGTCTCCTCTGTTTGATGTTTTCAGTCGCCCGTCTGACCCCACAAACAGACCCCTGTGACATCTCTCTCTCTCTTTCTGTCTGTGACGTCAGTCCCGTTGTGCGGATACACAAACAACCACCATTGACTCAAAGAGGGAAGCTGTGAATGTATCAGCTCTGCGCTCGCCACGCTTTGGCATTGTCTGAACAACTACATGTGGTTTCTGTGTTTGACGAGAAGTCAGGAAGGTTTTTTCTGAGACACTAAAAAAGTCATTTAGGTCAAATTGTGTCGTGAGTCATTTGTTACAATTAAAAGCATCACCTTTGCAAATCAGACATGCATATTTTAGAAGTTATTGTGAGAAACACAGGAGCCTAAACATTGAAACACAAAGAAAACTTCAATTTGAGGCCTCGGTTGTGAAGATCAATAAAAGTATCACTTCCTCGTTCATAAACTTCTTCCTGAAAACAGACATTATCGGCTGTGAACACCTGTTTCCTGCAGCATTCAGTACTTCATGTGAAAACAGCACGACAACATTACTTCCAGTTTCTTTTGTTTAGAAAAAAGCAGGTTACGTTTCAGTGAACTGTCAAAGGGTGTAAACTCTGAAGGACAAAAACAAGTATGAAGGATTTTATCAAAGCGTTTTTTTAAAAAGTCTACAATCACAGAGAAAACGGTGTTAGGTTTATGTTAGGTTTAGGTATCTGGACCTGTGCCGCTGCAGTCTAATATGGTGTAAATAGACAAATGCAAAACCAGACGAAAGCTGCAAAAAGTGTTAACAAATCTAACAACAGCATTTACAGTCATTTTCTGGGGTGTGTGTTTTTGCATGTTTTTTGACTTGGGTGACCATATTCTGAATCCCCAAAAAGAGGACACTACTACAGGGGCTGGAGTCGCATGCAAAATTTCGAGTTTTTTTTTGGGTTGGGTCAAGTGTTTTTTAGGTGCCTTGAACTCAGTTGGTTAATGCTACACAAACTCAAAACTTTCATACAAAACCCTGGATATTTGAAGGATTATATAAACTCCCCCCAGACAGACCAACAGCCCCCAAAAGAGGACATGTCCGAGTAAAAAAGGACGTATGGTCACCCCAGTTTTGACTTTTTAACATTTGCAGTAATTATCTTGTACTGTAGCACAGAAAGGACAAACTTAAAGCTACTGTGAGAAACTTTTTCATTGTGTTGATTTTGGCGCCCCCTGTGGACAAAATCATACTTCAAATTTTTTGTCCTGTACATGTGAAAGTTGTGTTTTTAGACAAAAACCTCACCCTGCTGCCTTTTAACTCTGACTTTTATCACTCTCAGTCAGTATTTGGAGTAAAAAGGCGTTTTTTTTTTTCAGCTTGCTATCGATCACCTTGTCTAACGCTGGTACGACCTGGAAGGATGGTTAGGGGAAGATGGAAAGTAACAATAAATGAAACTGAGCACGGGAGACGAAATGAAGAGTAGGAAACAGGAAATCAGAATAAGTAAGTAATTTATTTACAAGCAAATCCATTATCCAAAACTAAAATCCACTGCCAACTAATTAAACAAACAAAAAAACACCACAGGCTCCTGCCACCAGGAAACCTGGTCTTCAAAAAACACCAAAACGCACAAGACAAAAACACAGGCAACAATGAGGAGGTCTGCAGCACGAGTGATGGTTGTAAGGTGTAGAAAATCGTGGTTTTGGTTTGTATTGATCAGCATTTTTGGTTCTAAAACCAGTGGAGTCGCTTATTGTCCTCCAAGGCCAACATCACCTCAATGACAATTTAGCATTTGATGAATAAATATGAATAATTGTGGAATAGAAACAGTCAGCTGTATTTCTGACAGTCTCGTTTGTTTTTGCAGGGCACTTCACTTTTAATTTTACTCTCTTTTTTGTTCTGAACAAATGTCATACAACTATTCTTAAGAACCATGACGACACACGAGCTGATGATGCGCTTTATCTTTTTTAGTGTGAACGTATGTAATATTTTAAACATGTGACGCAGCAGTGCAGCACTCTCTTACGTGACTGTGTTTAAGAGACAAAATAAAGGGGAAGTGAAGTCTAAACAAAAAAACTCATGTTCAGACAGGCTTATCATCCTCAGACAGACATTTCCCATGCGGTGTCTTTCCAGCGTATTACCTCACTGAACATCCCTCAAGCCTTTTTTTTTTCACTGGAAATTACAGGAAAGATCCAGAAATGAGCTCCACATGTCAGACTTTAAAATGAGACGTTTGCACATTTCCATTTAGTCTCATGTAAAAAAGAGTGATCAAGTTCTGAAAGATTCAATTCAATCTTTTAAAGTTTCAAAGGAAAGACTAAAAAGTTTTGAGGTGTGGCAGAGAGAGAGAAGTGTTTACTCGTGTCACCTTTGACTCCCATAAAGTGAAGGGGGCGTAGCGTTCATAGGTTCACGCCGTGCATGTTAAAACAAACCACAGGCGACCCACATTCCTCTTGACTCAGAGGAGATGTTTCTGTGCTCGCTGCGTTCAGGGAGGTGTTTGTGACAGTTTGCACAGTTTACTTCAACAGAGAAGAGAGAGGAGGAAGACGTGACTGACGCTTTGGTTTACACTCGTTTGAGAAGAAGAAACATGGGGAGACGTCTTCTGATTTTCCTTGTTTTGGCTCTCTGTCTTAGTGTTTCACTTCAAAAGAAAGGTAAGACTTCTTCTGTTATTTCTCTTTATTAAACTCAGACCTGTCATCTGACCTTAAGTGTTAAGAAGAGCGCTTTTAAATAAAATATTATTATTCTTATTGATTGTTTCTGTGACAAAGAGAGCTGTATTCTCACTGACTGTGTGTGACATCTCTCTCTGGTTGGCTCGGTGTCTTACTTCATCTATATCAGACTAATCAATAACAGCGGGCTGCGGCACGCTCCCTGGTGATTCACTGATTCACTATTACAGCAACCACATTCCGTACACATGACAAGAGAAGTTTCATCATTAGGATTGAAACCACAGGATTGTTGAATGGACTTAAAAAAGTTGTGTTAGTTCAGCCTGTAAGGAAACATCTCTCTGTTTTCTGTCACTAAGGACACAGATTTGAACAAGCTGATCCAGGAAGTTATCAACGTGTTATTTCTCTGATTAAACCAGGTCAGGTCAATTCCAATAACCTGATAAAAGTTTACTATAGTTAAAAAAAGAGGCTTTTATCATTCAAAAGTTTATAAAAATCAGATTTTCATCATTTACAGCTTATATTTAATTCAAACTAATGTGAGGAGAGCATATTGAATTTTGAAATATTTAGTTTTTTACTGTTTTTTGTTTGTTTTAAATTTATTGCCAGCAACTTGTTTAAAAAAGAAAGCTTGTACAGGAGCATCAAAAATCTTAAAAAGTTGTGGGATTCTTCAAAAAACAGCCGGAGGAACATCTCCAAGTTTAAAAATTTCGTTTACAACAATTAAGTAACGGTACTGAATCTGAGAAAAGGACGCCAGAGAGCTTTGAGCATAACTTTTCTGAGAAAAAAGTTGGAATTCTGACTTTAATCTCAGAATTCTGACTTTTTTCTCAGATTAATAATTAAAAAAATATTTATCTGACCTTTTTTTTTTTTTTTCAGTAGCTCTAATCTTCTTCTGTACTTTTCTCATTATCACACTGTTAAAGATTTGGGGTTTTTAATCATCTACAGAACATCAGAGAACATGGAGAAAAGCCAAATTTTAATACCAAAGAGCCGAGATCTTAGTTAACGGACTCTGAAGTGGGAGGCGCTGCGTGGGCTCAGAATAATCTACAAAAGCCTTTATCTCTGAACGCAGTTTGTTCCGTCCGCAAATGCAGGTTAACATTGCACCATCTAGAGAAAAACCCCCACACATACATCTAATTTAAAAACGCTGACAAAAGATTGTATCAGGTGAGAGTGAGACCGTTCCTGTGTGACAACTGATAAAGAAGAAAAAAATAAAAACCATACCGCTGACCAGCTTTTCTGACATGTCGCTAGATTAAAAAACTTTTTATAAAAAAGTGAAGAAAGTGAAAGTAAAGCAGCTCCATGCGTCAGTTGCAGCTCATTTAGGTTGAGTAAACATGACTGTTTATGAGCCTGAGGAGGACGTGAATACGTGGCTTCGGTTTAGACTGTAGAAATGATCAAATATAAAGATAAAAATAAAGCTAAAGTGCTCGCTCTGTTTTTTAATTCTCTGTTTTTTTAGTCAGTGAAGGTCATGTCCTTAAATTTCTAAAAGTTCCTCACAGCAGCTTTAAAGGAATATTTCAGCGTAAAATTAATTTAAGGTAAAACACACAGTAACACAGAGTTAGACACTCCCCCGAGAGATGAATGTTGTCGACCGCTTGCTTCTTTAGTTATACCAACTTTAGTAACACCCGCAGACAGCAATACAGAGAGCCATGCACTCAACCAAAACGCCACTCTATAGCCAAAAATAATGCTCAGAACAGCACCTAACTTCATCAACAGTACATATAGGGTCCCAGCCACAGCACTAGCCACCAAACATCTTTTTAACTTTGCCTAATTTGTTTAGCAAAGAGACTAAACACAACTCATCTACTCTCATCGAGCAGCCGCTTGTTTGTAGCGAGACCTTGGACCAGTCCATTACGGACTACAGCGGGGTGACGCAGCTCAAGGAAGAACATTTATGATCATTTCTTCATGGAAATGCAATCAGACCGAGACGCTAAGGCAGAAGAACTACTGCGTCTGCAGTGCAAAATGATTAATATGGTGATTATTTCTTCAATGAAATGATGAAGAAATGATCATAAATGTTCTTCCTTGAGCTGCGTCACCCTGCAGCAGTCCGTAATGGACTGGCCTGAGGTCTCCCTACAAACAAGCGGCTGCTGGAAGAGAGTAGGTGAGTTGTGTTTAGTCTCTTTGCTAAAGAAAAGATGTTTGGTGGCTAGTACTATGGCTGGGACCCTATATGTACTGTTGATGAAGTTAGGTGCTGTTCTGAGCATTATTTGTGGCTATAGAGTGGCGTTTTGGTTGAGGTTTGTTTTTGGCTCCTCAGACCGCTGTGTATTGCTATCCTGCGGTTGTTACTAAAGTTGGTATAACTAGAGAAGCAAGCGGTCATCTCTAGAGGGGGTGTCTAACTCGGTGTTATGGTGTGTTTGACCCTAAATTATTTTACACCAGAAAATCATTTTTAAGTTCACTCTCATTACTCTCCTCCTTGAGTGTCTTAATTCTCATAGTTTTGCATCTTTGTGTGTTTGTTGTAGTGAAAAAGAAAGACAGAGGACACAGGAGGAACAGCTCGGCAGTTATTGGTCCTAGAACTTTTAAAGGACTGCCAGACCTTCAGACCAGTTTTATTTTTATCCTAAATGGGACACAGGCTCCAGTTTCGACTGACTCTCCTCCATCACTGCGGTCTCTAAGCAACAGCACAGTGGGATACCTCCTCAGCCCTCTGAGCACGCGGGTCATCCCCGTTATTTATGTCCTGGTCATCATCGTTGGGATCCCAGCCAACGTCGCCATCTTGAGCATGCTGGTCGCCAAAATCCGGAAGGTGTCCTCTGCCATCCTCTACTGCAGCCTGGCCGTCTCCGACCTCTTGCTCCTCCTCTCACTCTTCTTTAAGGCTCACTACCATTTCCATGGAAACCACTGGGTGCTCGGGGAGGCCGCCTGCCGAGTGGTCACTGCTTGTTTCTATGGCAACCTGTACTGCTCAGCCCAGACGCTTGCTTGCATCAGCATCAAGCGCTACCTGGCTGTGGTGCACCCATTCATGTACAAAAGACTCCCTAAGCGGACGTACACGACATGCGTCAGTATCGCCGTATGGGGGGTGTTCGGTGCCGCCATCATACCTGAACTCCTCGTGCAGCAGAGCTATTGGCTCCCTGAGGTGGGCCGCACCACCTGCCATGATGTACTCCCTCTGGACTTTGACTCCCATGTCTTCCTGCTCTACTACAACCTGTTCCTGACCGTCTTCGGCCTCCTGGTTCCTCTTGTGATTACTGTTGTTTGCTTCGCCCGTATCATCAGTGAGCTGCAGCAGTCGCACCATGACTGGGCGATGTACATCAAAGCCAGCTCTCTGGTTTTTGGCATCTTCCTGCTGTGCTTCACTCCTGCTGGAGTCCTGCACTTCTCCCACTATGTGCAGCTGTTTGCAGACGGGACAGAAACTTTATACGTCTACTTTAAAGCAGCAGTGTGTCTGTGCTGCGTCCACGCCTGCCTGGACCCCTTCCTCTTTCTGCTCATGTCAAAGTCTGCAGGATCGGCACTTTACTTCAGTCCTTTTAAGGGGAAGACTCTGAGTATATCTATATGAGGAAAAGCTACAGATGAGACTGATTTTGAATTTCTTTGTGGCTGGAATCCAAAGAGAAAACCTTGAAAGTGTTTGTGTTAATCTGCAGGCAGAATAAACAAAGCTACAGAGACTGTGATAGGAAAAGGGGAGGACATGTATATAAGTGATGTAAATAAAATGAGAGAAAAATTATTAATCGTTAACATGTTGGTTTAAAGGGATATTTCTGTTTTTTTATATTCAAACATATTATTGGATATTTTTGTATATAGCCTGTATTCTACTGTCAAAAAAAGGGAAAAGACACTCTGGTGCAACAACCTTAGCAATGACAGTTGAAGCTTTACTTAGTAAATGAACTGTAGAGAAAGTTACCCAGAATTTCCACCGCATCCAAAACAGCAGCAATTTTTGCCGTCTGCCAATTCCTACCGGATCCGTTTGTGAGGCGGATTTGGTGGCAGATTACGGACAGTGGGAATAGCGAGAGCTTTCAAGAACCTGCGGATTCAAGTGCAATCGCGTGATAACGAGTTGTTGCTATAAAGACAGCTACATAACTGTAATGATGCCTAGCACATGTTCCCACTTTAAAGAATGGAAGGTCCACACGAATGATCATTTTGACAAGCTTTACTGGTTACAGATCTGGGTTACAGCTTCATCATGTCATAAGTGTAACAAAGACTGGTCTGAGACTGTTCAAGTACATATAGCCGTCCACATTTCCAAACACTCTGCTTGCATCTTGTTGATCTGAAAGAGAGCGCATGTAGGGTAATAACAAAGCACAACGTATTTTGGGAGCCTAAGTGATGTTAAACATGGGTACAAGGTCCTTGTTGAGGATGGTTGTAGGAGGCCTATGGCTCCAGAAATGTAGCACCAAGGTATCCAAGGTGTGACACCAAGGAGTGACACTGTTTCACCACACTTAAGGCTGACGTGACCACCCAAAGAAAATCACCCTGACAATAACCATATAAGCAGTAGACTGTGTCCTTCCAAAGGAGGAAATCCACATCTAGACTTCTAGAATTAGCATCTCCACATCCACGGTGTCAACAGGGTGAAATGCTGTCTAAAAACCTTTCACTGGTTCATCCCCGCCTGTTTATATGGTGTGAGATGCGATCCGCCTGAAACACGGAGTGTTTTATTTTGAAAAGAAGCCGGATGTTTTATTTTGTGTCTGTGCCTGACTTCCTTTCCAACATGGGTGAACCTGTGCTGAATTTATCTAGCATGCTTCAGCGTCCGGAAAATATAGAACTCGATCAGCTACAATCGTTGGCCTTTTCGTAGCTGTTCTAGATGTGGTGGAAATTGGGGTTTAGAAGTTTTCAGACGCTGCAGTCTGGCGGAAAAAGACTTAATCGGCCAAAATTTCTAGCCAAAAGAAATGCAAAATAAATGTTCATCACCATGGTCCAAATATAAGATGGGGCTTTAGGCAGCTCCTTCAGCAGCAGACTGAGACTCCCACCCTGCAGGACGGAGCGCTACCGCAGATCATTCCTCCCCTCTGCAATAAGACTTTACAATGAACAGTAACAAAACTGATTTTACACCACCACTTTTTTTATGGCATTTAAATTGTGTATATTGTAGAAAGCTTTATTTTTTCTTCTCCCTTTTCTAATTTTTTTCTTAATTATTACATTTATTTAAGTTCTTAATATTAGGACCCTTATTGTTATAACTGCATTTTTGCACTTTTTGGCTTGTCTGTGATGCTGCTGTGACAAAAAAATTTCCCCCATGGGGGATCAATAAAGGAATATTCTATTCTATTCTATTCTATTGCTACCTTAAGTAACATGTGAAAATAGTGGGATCATCAGCATATGTTGACAGCAGAGCTGAGAAACATAACTGAACTAAAACTTTTGTGCAAAAAAGGTAAAAAATGTGAGTCACGTACTAGTTGGTATAGGAGGACTAACAATCAACCAAATCCAAAATGCATGAAATAATCTTTTGAAGGAGGAAAATTAAAAAAACAACTCGAGCACTTTCTTTTTTCTGTGTTGAATTATTCCTCCTGAAGGTTTTTATGTTTGAAGAGTCAACTCAATGAGGAATCATGTGACACACTGTTGTAATAACATGTTTAACAAACCTTTGAGGTATTTTCTGCTTACTAAAGCTCCTGTGAGGAGTTTTTAGCTCCACCTTAAATATCCTGAAACTGACCTTCAGACTAAATTATTTTAATGTCAGAAGATGATGGCGGGGGGTAGGTGTCAGGCTCGACAAAAACTGCTTCTCACAGGAGCTTTAAAACACAGCTAGAGGAATTTTGTTGGGGAAAAAATATCACATGTACTGGAAAATAACAGCTAAAACATAAGGTACCCTTAAAGTTCCACACTGGAGCTTTGAACAAAGAACCAAATTATGCTTCAAAAATTCAGTCTTTCAGAATCTTTTGTCAAACCCCTCTAAGCTTTTCCTGTAACTGATGTAAATGTGCAGTTTCTATGTTGTACACGGCTATAAATAAGACATGTTTTTGTCTGAGTTTCTAAATGTGGAGTTGTGTTTTTAATGTTTTCCTCTGGACTCCTGGGGGGAGGGAGAATCACCTTTGAACTAGCCCCTTTACCCCTCCCTCACTGAGGTGGCGTTTCCTGCTCTGACTGGGACAGGATGCAGCAAACCGAGAACTGGAAACAAAGACATTAAATTATTTCCAGAGATGTTTCTAACCCACTTTAACTGTTCGGAAAATGATGATGAGTCAGAGGCTGGAGTCTGAAAGTTTCAGTGCAATAACGGAGTTTAAAACTGAGAAGTTTGAAATGAAAATGGGAACTTTGTGCTGTTTGAATATGAGGTTTTGCTTTATGCTTTATGCTTTACACTGAATCCACTGGAGTGTTTTTACCTATGTAAATTAATCTTGTCTTTTTGGAAGTGTGTTTTATTATTATCATTATTATTATTCTTATGAACATGTCAGTAATTATATCTTCTTGAGTTTATGTGTTTATGGCTGCCAGTCTTTACAGTCACAGTCCACAGTGGAAATAAATCCTGGATCTAATATTTTGCTGAAGTCTGACGTCGTCTTTTCTTTAATGTGACACAAATACGGGTTCACTTCAATAACACAAGCCATCTGTCTCTCTGTACTTGTTGCTTTTTGTTTAGCATTAATGGAGGCTTCACATATGCAGAGGACGGGCGTCCGTGATTTCCAAAAAGAAGACCAAACTTTAGTTTGTTAGACCACAGGACAGTTTCTGAATCCGCCCATTTCGTTTTCTCTCTGCATTATTAAACAGTTTTTCTCCAACAGCTCCAAGAGAGACAGGAATTGAGGGGAGTCGAGACTTGTAGCAAAAGGTCAAGGCAAGGAATTGAACCAGCGACCGCTCCGACAAGGACTGTAGCTTTATATGTGTGGTGTTTGTTTGCTAGACCACTGGTGCCCCGTGCATTTGTGGATGTAGCAACAGTGTGTATTCACAGATGAGGATTTTGAGCCCATGTGGTGACTACAGAGTCATGCCCATTTTTAATTGAAACTTGCCTTAAAGGCCAAAAGACTCAGCTTCTTATAAATTCCTCTTTTAAACCCAGTCACGCTACTAACCTGTTGCAAATGAACTTTTTTAGTTGAGGTTGTTTGTTAGTGTTTTGTCTTTGCTGTCCAAACTTTGTCTAAACAAATTGCTGCATCAAGTTTTAAATCAGAATAAATAGTTAATACATTAATATAATTTTCTCTTTCGACAACTGATATGTTGTCTTACTTCCTGGTAAATAGTTTATTAATTAATTATTAATTATTTGCAAACAATTAAAATCTCATTTTGTCAACATTTTAAAGAGTCCAAACTTATTTGTAATTAAGATTTAAAATAAGTGATTTTTTTTTCTTTTTTAAAATATTTTTCCTAATTTTTGCACTAATTTATTAATTTATCTAATCATCTTTCCTTTGAATTTGTTGTTTCTTCAAGGACCATGCTCAACATATGTATTTGCTTTGGGTTGGTCTTCATATTAAGTCTGTTGCCTCTTTAACAGCCATAAAAATAAAATAAAATAAAAAGCAAATTAACTCATCAGAAAGCAGACCTTAAGTTTTCAGGAGTCCTTTTTAAAACCTGCAGAAAAATACCAGTTGTGCATAAATGGCGCCATCTGCTGGTGGTAGTGGGTGCAGCATGAACAAACCAGGAAAGAGAGGGTCCACAGTTGATCAAATGAAACTCTTTATTCAGTATGGACACACCAGAGGAATCCACCTTGACTGCATTCACTTGAGCCTTTTCTTATCAAAATAAATCATATCAAGGACAGGTAGATATTTTATACACACCTCCATGTTTGTGTCACAGCCGAGGTTTTCAAATCTGAAACTTCCTCTGACATCTTTACGATCGAGCAGATTTGACCACCCCTGCTGCTCGACACCTTGTTCACACAGCCTCCGCAGCACGAGCATGCCCTTTCACAACAACCCCAAAGTCAACTCAGTATAATGAACACCTGTCCACAACGAATCCGACAACACACGAGAATGATACATTCACCTTTGACCCGGGAATCACATGTCTGTTTCCCCTCGCAGAGGAACAGAGAAGACACCAAAATGGAAAAAAGAGCACACACAACAGAAGGACTTCAGTAACAAACATGCAGGGTTTCTGTTCGGAAACAGTTTGTTCAGCTCAGGTGTTTGGTCGAGGGGAAGTCGTTGACCAGCGGAAATAAAGCATCAAACATCTTTTAACAGTTCCTCAAAGTAACTTTGAAAGAAAATAGCTGCACGTAGAGGTCATGTTCTGCACAAATGCTTTTCAAAATAAGAGCTTTAAAATGATTAGAATCAAACTGTAGCTACTGCACTTTAGTTTTACTCTTCAGTATGATCGAACAAACCGAGAAGAGGACGTGTTACAGTTATTATTTTTACAAATCCCCCGTAACATTGACATTTTAGCAGCAAGAGTCGTATCATTAGTTTTTAAAGGCTCATTTCACCCAAATCACAAGACAACATGTTTTTCTTTTCAAGCTCATATCGCCTCTTAATAAAAAAACAAAACTGATTTTGGTGCCCAGGTATCTGTCTCTAAACTCTGAATGAAAGTGAGTTTAATCCTGACTGTGACACTCAGATACTCCTCAAAGTTTAGTGTCTTCTTCTAACTGCAAAATAAACAAGGATAACCGCTCTGATAGTGTTGACTCAGGTGGATAAAATACCAGTATTCATATTGTCATCCTGATCCTAGAGGATGTTGACAGCTGTCTATTAACCAAACTCAGCATGTGTCTGCAGACTCAATAGACAGACCGTAGGGTGACCATACATCCTCTTTTACCCGGACATGTCCTCTTTCACGGTTTTGCAAGGAAGTTTCGAATTTGTGTCACGTGGACTTACTGAGTTAGAAGCGCGTAAAAGACACTAAATCCGACCTGAAAAACTCTCAAAAATAACAGAGTGCGACTCCACGATGGGCAAAACCCACAGGATCCAGAACAGCTCCACTCCGCTTCGGCACGGCAGGCAGGTCAAATATGCAAGCATGATAATCAATGTGTGTGATTCCCATAGACTGTATATACTATGGACAACTTGGTTCAGCCTACCGCCTGTATACGGATTTGAAGCCGAAAAGCTTTCAGTATTTCCGGGATTTTAAAATAACTATCACTTTTAAAAACAGAGCTTCACAGAAAAAAAGAGGACTTGAGCACAAACCAGTCTTACAATAACTATATGTCAACATCACAAGCAGGGGGGAGAAAAATTTATGTTCTGTGTAATAAATTTCTAAAGTTTGTCCACAGCCCCATAAGCTTTGCTGGCGGAGGCGGGATTTATGACCTATACTGCAGCCCATCAACAGAGGGTGCTGTTCTTGGAGTGGCTTCACCCAATGAGGAGGCAGACTCTGTCCATTCTATATACAGTCTATGGTGATTCCACACAACCCGTCCGCCGTCTGGCTCCGCTGCAGATCAGCTCTAGTGGCCAGATCAGATACGCAAGGCTTCTATTTTTGCCGGATGCCGGAGCACGGCGCATCAATTCAGTGCAGCGCAGCACGAGCAGCAGCAGAAGTTGTATGTGGCTACAGAGTAAAATATCTTGTTAATACATTGAACTGTTGTTAACTTGATAATAGGAGAGGCCAGGGTTGTGGGATGTGGGTGTTTATACACACCGCTGTTAATATACACCGATCAGCCGATCTCATTCTATGACTCTCAGGGAAACATGCGAGATCTAATGAGATCTAGTCCAGGCTCGTGAGAAATATCTGTAATCTCGCGACCGCTTCTCCGATTGCGGCGGCAGATCAGATCTGGTGGGCGCTGTATGCTATGCTAAGCGTATCTAATCCACCTGCCTGTCCGGAGCAGAGCGGAGTGGGATCCCCGGGTGACTCTGCCCCTGTGTAGTCCAGTCCTCTTTTTGGGAAGTCAGAATATGGTCACCCTAACAGACGGTCTTTCTAATTCTGTAAAATTGATGGTTTCCATTTATCTGGCCAATGCAAAAGTGCAGAATCATGCATAGATTTGCTCAATCACGGATAACTGAGTCGCAGGTTTGCATGTTGTAACAGTTTGCTAGGAAGCTTAAGCCCCGCCTCTTTGCCTATTTCCAAGTTGATTGACAGAAAAGTTGAGCCAACATTTCCCAGTTTGAATTCACAATACCAATCCAACAAGTGATGTCAAGAGTTTTATGTGCATTTTTAACAGTTTTCATGGAAGTCTCTCAACAATAAGCCCACACATGTAATCTAGGATTGAAGCCCACTTGGTGGTCCAAATGGTATTCCTATTTCTAGGCTGCATGGGCCCAAACACAAACCTACCTAAAGCCTGATCTGAGTGCATGCCAAGCTTCAAGACGAAAAACTCAGTGTTTTCTGTGTGATTTGGGTGAACTGATCCTTTAACATGGCTTTAATTTCACTGAAGCACAGGTTTCAAATCCTCCTGGTTCCTTGGAATAGACTTAAAACTTTTAGAGATGGTCACCGTATCTAACAAGGGTTTGTTTGGACACACACTCAAACACGCACACACGCACAAAAAGTCATGCACACTGCAGTTTCAAGAAATAAGAAAAACAACAACGAAGAAAAAAAAGAGAGCAGGACAGAGCAGCAAAGCTTCCAGCAAGGTTTGGAAGAAGAGACGGGCTCAGCAGAGAGAGAGAGAGAGGCACGACATCTGAGAAAGGCCTTCGAGTTGTGAAGGGAGCAGCAGCAAGGCAGGAGGAGATAAACGGGACATCGTAAAGAAACTAATACAGAGAGGAAAAAAAACAAGCAGACTGGAACAGCAGAGTATAAATTCTTCTTGACAGATCAGATTGCAAACGGAGAGAGCGAAGCCCTTCATGGTGAGCTCGGCGCCACGGGACGAACACGACACAGACACAAGAGAAGGACAGAGAGAGGAAGCATTCAGACAAAAGGTTTCCAATCCCAAAAGTCTCGGACTGTAAAAAGCAGAAAATGTAAACTTCTTTTCTCTTTAGAAATGTAGCTGCTGAAGTCACCGGTTTTCTCTACACTACTACATTGTTTGGATTTTTTTTTCTATGGCCTTGTCATTCTTGAAAACTGCAGCAAAAGGCTTGAACGTCAGCAACCTGGTCTAAAACCTGAAGTCGGCATTAGGTCTGAAAACATCCAAACAAACCAATAAATAACATATATGTAATAAATAAATACAAATAAATAAAGACAAACAGTAAATATCAGGAGGATAGATTATTAGCTCCGCTTTGTTGATCAAATCTTACGCTATAGAAAGGGGCGAGCTGACCTGGCTCTGCGATAAGTCTGAGAAAAGAGGGGAACAGCTCTCCTGGCTCCATCTGAGGAAAACCAGATCCACAGAAACTCTACAGCTCAATAAGAAACATGTTCAAGCAGCAGCTGCACTGTTTGTGCAAAAACTGCATTTCCATCTGTGTCCACTAGAGGCAAAAGCTACTGAAACCCATATTAATGTTTATTCCTGTTCACCATCTCAAAGAAAATAAACAAAAAATCACAAAAGTCTTTTATATGATACTAGAAAACGCCCAAACCGTCAAGGAAAAATCCGTTAGTGCCAGTAGAGTAACCGTGTTTTAAGTCGTCATCTCTTCTGACATGATTTACGTCACTCTAGGAGCCACGTATTGTGGTAGAAGCTAGCTAGCTTGTTATTCAGTCTTGCTTCTGTGCTTCCTCTTCAACCGGCGTAAAAAACCACTACTGCCCCCTACCATGAACCAATCAATAACAGGATTTAGCACGATTATTTTTGGCACAACATCAATAATTGGTCTTTAGAAGATGGTTTCCGATCCACCAATCAGGCTTTACTTCATTTCATAAAAGACTTAACAAATTGACATCACATGTCAGAGCATGGCAAGCTGTTTTTTCTGAATCCCAGACTTTAAACTGAGGAAACTAGATCCTTATTTCCAAAAAAATGAACTTTTGCCTTCGACCAATAAGGTTGTTTGGAGTCCAAGCCTTTTGCAGCATTGACACATGCATTTGAGAGCTGCATGTACATAATGAGGTGCTGATATACAGAGTTTACTGACACTGATATTTACGGCTGGTTTCTGGAGGTGACGCCAAAGACATCGACCACCAGCCGTCCACGCTTCTAACATCTGATTGTTGTCTTTAACTCTTCATATCTACAGCTCATTGTAAAGTCTAACTGTCTTATTTACCAGGTATTCTACTCAGAAATAACAGAACAATCATTTGTCCTGTAATGTGGAGGATCTCATTAATGAAACAATAACTACAAGAAGAATGAGTGCCGTGCTTGTTTCAGCGATGTTTTGGGAAATCATAGTTCATAATGGTTCTTCACTACATCGAGTGAATACCTGGTAAACAACATACTGAGGTTTACATGAGGACATTGGCTCGCGTGTCTGGCAGTCGGAGCCCCACCAGCCCCCCACCGACCAGCACAGACGAAGCCAGCAGGATGGGGATGGCTTTAGTGATGCCAACCAGTGAGCCAAAGATCAGGTTGCCCAGAACTGCTGCCAGCTTACACATGGCGTTACAGAAGCCGAAACCTGTGCCCCTGAAAAACAAGAAGACAGAGAGAACAGAGGAAAGGGTTAGATATTGATATGTCAATTTGTTTCTAAATAACTCAAAGAAAAACTACACAGCTGTGTTTTCATTTGATGGCAAATGGCAGTAAACTGTCATAGTATTAGTCTGACTATGTTTCATGTATTCACCATTATAAACTATTGTGGTGCAAACGCTTATGAGGAATTTTTCTAGAGGCTTTCTTATATTTGAAAAACCACTGACCAGTATTACAGTAATGATGATATGGTACAATACAATATGATATCATATAACACAACATAAAGAATACAACTGAATATATGATGTAAAACAATATGATACCAAACAAACTGTACTACGGGGTATGATATGATAAGATGATGTGATAATACATTTGATTATATAATATGACGATATGATAAAATGGGATAAAACGGGATAGGATAGACCAGATCATGATATGGTATATGATATGATATGATATAATATAATATGATATGATATGATATGAAACAAGGATATGATAGTTTAGGATACTGTACAAAACAAATAATCTGATTTGCTATTACATGATATTATGAGAAATGATGATATGGCACAATCAGATATGATGCCAAATTACATGATATGATATGATATGATATAATATGATATGATATGATATGATATGAAACAAGGATATGATAGTTTAGGATACTGTACAAAACAAATAATCTGATATGACATGATATGACATGATATGATACTATGAGATACAATGATATGATAGTTTAGGATACTCTACAATACAAAATGATATAATTTGCTATTACATGATATTATGAGAAATGATGATATGGCTAAATCAGACATGATGCAAAAAGATATGGTATGATATGACATGACATGATATGATTTAATATGATACGATAAGACATGATATGATAAGTACCAATATGATAGGATAAGACACAATACTATATGATACAATATGATATGAAATGTTTAGACAAGATATGATACAAGAGGATGAGACATGAGATGAGAAGATTAGACACAATGGATACAATATCATACAATATTATACAATATGATACAATAAGATACGATACAGTATAATACATGACAATATGATATGATAAGACACAATATGATGAGAACTGAATGATAAGACATAATAAGATGGGATATGATACAATAAGACGCGATATATGAACTGATTCGATAGGATACACTTTACTCACCCCTGGATGGATTGAAGTGCTATCATATCATCATACTCAAGTATATCTTATTGTATCGTATTTAATGGACTGAAGTGCCGCATATACTCAACTGCATCCACAGCATTACCAATAAAGAAAACAAATAAATAAAACTATACCAATAACCAATTATTACCCCCGTTTGAAGGGAACTGCAAATTAAAATGCAAAGTTCAGTGATAATTTGACCTGAAGGTAGTTTTTAAAACTCTGTTGTATGGGATCATGTAAGGGGACAAGCTTGTATCCTAATCCTGCTCACCTTGTCGGGGTCATAACCTGCAGGAACAACCCATTCACTGTACATCATCTCTTTGTAAGCGCTATTAGGGTCGTGTTTTAAGTGCACTCCTCACCTCCTGTCTGTCGGGTACAGCTCAGTGGTGACCACATCCAGAGAGTTCCATGCAGAGATGCTGAGGCCGTTATAGAGGCAGAGCATGAAGATCATCATGGACTCACTGGTGCCAAACCAGAGGAAGAAGCAGCTGATGCCTGACAGCACCATGGAGCCCCCTGCAGGACAAACCACCACAACTTTGAGCTTCGCTTCTCTCAGCAGAGTTTATGAAAGATGTATGAGGAAACATTGAGACACTTCTGCATCTGCTCTGAAAGGACAATCAGAGCTTCGAGAAATGGAAAACATCTTACCTAACATGCTGAGACGTCCTATTTTGTCCATGAGGAGGGCCGAGACGATGTTTCCAGGCAGCACTGCCAGCGTCCCCAGGAAGTTGACGAAATAGACCCAGTAGGCGCTGTAATCATCGTCAAACGTCATCTGACAGCCCGTCTTGTTGTGATGAAAGGAGCTGTTTATCACTCTGGAGTTTGTTAATTTGGCGTCGTCTACGTCTGTAAAGGTGGGAGACAAGAGAGCGGCTTCACACTGTGTTTGAATTATGCATGAGGGTAACTCTTCTATCTGTGAGGCATCGTCTGAAGTTAGACATTCAAACACAAATCCTCCATCGTCTGCTCTTTCATGGGTGTGTGGAGACCAAAAGGTTTATTAAAGATTAATAATGAGCCAATCTGGCCTGAGGATAAAACCTCCTCCTATTCTGATGGAGTCCAAGTCGAAAAACAGCAGTGTGTCTTTGTCCGGGTGATAGTTGGGAGGTTTAGATTTTTCTTTTATTTTTCACTTGTCTTTTTATTGTTATTTTTCATTTATTAATTTGTGTTTGATTTTTGTTTTGTTTTTATTTAATTTTGTTATTAATTTTCAGTTTTATTTTTGCGTTTTTAACCATTATTTTTTATACATATATGTATGCTTTCAAAATTTTCATTTTGTATAATTCATTTATCTTTTTCTTTCTTTCTTTATTGTGTACTGTTCTTTTATTGTTTTCTTAATATATTAATTTATGTCTATTAATTTTTGAAAAAAATGTGTTTATCTTTTATCTTTGTTTTATTTTTATTTTATTTGTTATTGATTAAAGTATTATTTATTTAAGTTTATCATTTATAACTTTTATTATACTTAATTATATGGATTCCAAAATTTATATTTTTTATTATTCATTTTGATTATCTTTTTTTACTGTTCTTTTAATAAACTTATTTATTTTTGCTGAGTTTTTTAATCAAAAAATGTGTTCATGTATTTTATTTTATTAATAATTATCAATTTCATTTATTAAAGATTTTCATTTTGAACCCTAATGTTAAATGGTAATTTATTGAAGTTTTAGACTTTTTAATTTTTCATTTATATTAATTCATTTTTTTTGTTACATTTTCTTAAAGTTCAAGTTCAAACATCCGTCCGTTGTGTGACTGGTCACCATTTCTGTGTGTTTGTGTAATGGGTCAAAACAGACCAGTGTAAACATGTCAAATGTTTTATTTTTTGCAATTTGCACTATTTATGCAAATTGTTGACTTTTTGTTTCACTTACATAGTTGACCAATGTAAGAGAGTTCATATTCATTAAACAATAACCAAAGAAGAGTCTGATTGAAGGTTTTTAAGGGGTTTTAAATGTGATTATTATTGGTTTGTAGGAGCAAACAACAGGGAACAATAGAAAACAAGAGCAACAGACAAATACCATTGACAGATATTTTAAATATCCTCAGTAATCATAGACTCTGTATGTGATGTGCTAGGATAAATAAAGGTTTAAAAAGTGTGTTTATAATGTTATTATGACTAAAGTGTGGAAACAGGACTGGATGACTAAGATTCACGAGTAGACGGAATCCACAACGTTATACTTACATGGACAATAGTTAATGTTAATTTCATGTTAATTTTTTTATTTCAATTCTGTACTTTATATTTATATTCATTTCGTATTTAATTTTCCACTATTTGATTTGAAATTCCTAGTATTCAATCAATAAATATTTCTTTTTTTTTCTAATTTAGTTATCCTTTTTTTATTCTCTTTTAAAATTGATAGATACTTTATTGATCTTGAGGGAAATATGAGAATTTACAGTTATCATTTTTTAATGGATTTGATGTTATTTATAAGTTGTTTTTTTTATCTAATATGGAGTCTTTATTTTGATAAATTGAAATAAATATCCTCAGCAGACATTTAATCTCACCCTACATTGTGTCTGGTTTTGTTGTACTTAAAATCTCTCACCGAACATTTATTAATGAACTCCAGCAGCCGCAGCAGCAGAGTGGAAACCCTCCCCTCTCTCTCTCAGCTCTGCGCTCTCTCTCTCTCCCTCCGTCTGTCTCTCCTCGTTTGTCTTCATCCTCGACTCTCTAGAGAAGCCTCGCTGTGGGCAAAGAGACTACATTTCCCAGGGGCCATTTCAGGCAACCTGACGTGCCCTTACTGTTTCCATGTTCAGCTCTTTTCCTGAGTGCTGTGGGGAAATATTTTTTTTACCCTGCACTCCCATAAGGTCTGAATCAGCTGCAGGTCCTCTGAACATCCTGCTTCTACTTCTCTGTGTGTGTGTTTTCCTCTAAAGCGATTAGACAGCACTTAAACTCGCTCTATAAAAGCTACAACTGGCTGTTTGGAAAGCTGATGCAGAAGGATTTGTTCGAATCAATTAGAGGCTAAAAGAGAAAAACTTGAACTCTGTGCTTAAAAGAAACAGATTTATCACTTTGATTTTTTTAAAGCGTCTTATAAAAATCATGTTTTTGTGACTATTAATAGTCATTTTTGTCCCTCTGCAGCACAGATCGGCTCAGTTTTTCTGTTCGCCTGAATTCAGTGAGGCAATCTGTGCAGGGTCAGAGAGGTTGAGCAGTAATTTAGCGGAGGCATAAACGCTCAGACCCCATTCTCTGTTAGCCAGAAGCTCGGACGTTAGACCCCAAATGAACTGTCAGACAGAGACACTGAGTGAGACTTATGTGGGAGGTATAATAGGATTTTTGTAGTGAAGGGGGACACCTCTGGCTCTGGATGAGGGTGCAGGTAAAGACTCACCTGTGTTGTAAAAGAAGGAGTCGATAAAGGTGCAGTTCTTAAAGGAGGAGCCCACAGAGGAGACGTCCTCGAAGTAGCAGTTGATGAAAGAGGAGTCGATGAATTGCACCGCCTTGAACTTCATGCTGATGAACCTGGAAAGAGAGGGAGAAAATCATGCCTTGTTTGCATGCCATAGCTATATTTAGTTGTGTTGCTCTTTTTTGGAAGCTTCCACAGTTTCATGGTTTTGATTTAATCTCAGCATAAGTCTGCTTTATGGTCTACAGTGAGGCTGGAAAAGAACAAAAACAGCACAGCGATGCATCTTCTCTCTGGCCTTTGTGTACAAGAGAATCATAACCAGGAGGAGCAGCAAAGAAGAGTGTGTTTGGGCCGGACAGAGAGAGAAAGAAGGCAGGAAAAAAATGGAGAGAGAGAGATAAGTCTTTTAATTTCCTGGCTGTGCAGCAGATAAAGGAGGCAGGATTAATATTACCGGCTGCCGTGTGTTGTTTACGGGAATGAAGAATCGTCCTGTTATCCAACAGCAGGACAAAGCCAAGCTTTAACCAAGAACCTGCACAGAGGCAGGCTCACAGGTTTGCAGATTTAAACCCTTTCTCAGTTTGTTAGTCTGTCATTGAATCCAAACAGGACTCCAGTTTACCTGTCGTTTATAAAGGCCCCGTTTCTGTGGATCTGGTTCTCCAGGGTGAAATTGAAGGTGAAGTCTTCGATGCGTTCGTTGTTGTGGATCTTGACTCTGGAGGCGTACTCGTCGGCCTGGAGGTGCTTGATGACATCCGGGAACCAAACGGAGAGCCCGTAAAACCTGAACACACAAGATTCAGCCTTTTTTTCACTTTTAGTCTCAAAATTTGTTGTTTTTTGGAGTAAATATCCCTGTAAATATTACAGTGTCTGCTTGTTAACGAAGTCCCTCGCCCCTAGTCTGGGAAAAACCCAATTTTGAATCACAACCTGCCAGATTAAGATTAAATTACATCTTTTGAAGCCTTTTTTGTCTCTTTGGAGCTAAAACTCTGACACTTTCATACTGTATTTCATTATAGCAGCTGGCTGAAAAAAAGCAGAATGACACCTTCTCTCTAATAGCTCCTCTCTTTCCAATCTCACCTGTCAACATTCATCAGGAGGGCTGGAGTGAGAGAGCATCTGCCCGAGTGTTAAACATTTCACTGAGACTGTTATTAGGCTGCAAAGTAACTGTGACTCTGCAAAGTATCAGAGAGGACATCAGCGAACACGAGGGGAGTGAGGAATAAAAATGTTTTTTTTAAGAGGAGATGAAGAGTGTGAGCAGAAAACCTCTCACCCGAACGACAGAGTGAACCAGACGGCCGCCAGTTTGATGGTGTTGTCTCTCACTGGGTAGTTGAAGCACTTCATAAAAGTCGACCAGATCTGTCAGAAAGTAGAGTTAGTTTTCTCTCAGTTTGAATCAAAACAGTTTGAAATGTCAACAAAAAGAAAAAATCAGCAGCAGCATACTCCTCTGAGCTCTGTTTTCATCTTGGAGAGGACCTTCAGAACCGGGTTGGCCGTCTCGTTCTGCAACTCCACCAGCTCGTCCAGCTGTTTAGGGATTTTGATCCTGTTGACCTGCAGGGGGAGACACTGATCTGTCACCTGCTGGGGGCTCTGCAGCAGCCGGGAGGAAGTGTGTGTGTGTGTGTGTGTGAGTGTGTGTGTGTGTGTGTGTGTGTGTGTGTGTGTGTGTGTGTGTGTGTGTGTGTGTGTGTGTGTGTGTGCACTCACAGTGAAGACTCTCTCTGGCTCTCCTCGGGCTCGCATGTTTGTGTCGTGGATTTGTTTGAGGACCATCCAGGCCTCGTCGTGTTTACCCATCTGTTTACACAAATATCCACATAAACAAATTAGCACCTTTAAATTTGTTCTCAGGTGGTAAACATAGTTTTCCTGACTTTACATATTCTTCTGTATCATCACCCAGATTTATTTTTAAATTCTTATCATCATGGCATGAGTTTTATATACTCTAAATTTGAGTTTCAAGGTACTATTTCCACTGCTACGAATGCTAGAACATGTCAGATTATAATAATAACATTTAAAGGCTTTTGTAGCAGATACAAACAGCTGATAAGAACACAAGACTTCGTTAACCCTTTCACCTACATATTCCAGGTTGAGTTAAAGATTTATCATGAACCCAGTCAGTGTTTGTTTAATTTTTGGCTTAATGGCACCATTAAAAGTAAGCCAAAGTAACTTTAAGGTGTCTTAATTTGAAACATACCAATGAAAATACTGAAAAGTATACAGCAATTACTTACATGGTAAAAAACTGTAAAATGTCTTCTTTGTCAGGCAAGTTTAGATTTTTTCGAAGAGCTGCTTTTTCCCGTTTATTCCTATTGACTGTATTCATATTTTTTATTGTATATCAGGGATTATTCTAGGGCTGAGTGATAAACCAAAAATTTACCAATACTGAAATTTACGACAACAACCAATGTCATTTTGCCCATATCGGTATATTCGATGTCTAAAAAGTAAAAAATAATAATAATAAAAGTTGGTTTTGGATGTGTGTAGGTAGGCTATGGTCTCATGTCCCTTTAAGACGCTGTCCTACGTCAAAGACGTGACTCCACCCCATACAGTCCGTAACAAAGAGGAAAAGACAGGTGAGGAGATGAAGGACGGGTCAAAAGTTGTAGCGGCTGGAGCGGTGGCTAAAAAAGAGGAAGTTAATGTGGGAGGGGGTGAGCAGCTTGTGGAGTAGTTATCATCCATTTATCATTATTGAGGTAAACTGCTTAATATATCATGATATTGATTTGGGGCCATATCGCCCAGCCCTAGATTATGCTGTTCTTGTTTTGGTTAGTCTCTCTGTATCCAAAAATGTAAAAATCATGAATTTGTGCTGAAAACTGACCAAGTTATGACTCTGAGGAAAGCCTGCAATTTTGGTGCAAAATTGCCTCTTGATTTAAGAAAAAAATATCAAGTATCGAGGGAAAACATCAACATGCATCTACAAATTTACCTCCTACATCCTCAGTAGGAAGGTTTATGCACATCACAGAAAGACTCGAACAAAGTTTTCTCGTACAAAGGTCTGTTTTTTTCTCGGATACCTTTGAGAATCCTTATCTCAGTCATTAACAGTAATAATGGAGCTGCTGCTGCTGTTATCGCAGTAAACTGCATCTTTCTCTCACCTCCAGGTAGAAACGAGGGCTCTCAGGCATAAAAGTGAGAGCGACCACCGCAGACACACACGGCAGTGCGCACACCACCACAAAGACTCTCCAGCTGTGGAACTGGTACGCTGAGCCCATACTGAAGCTCCAGCCTGCAGGCGGAGAGAGACACATCAAATCAAAATTAATGCATCAGGCCAGAGTTCAGTCCTGCGACATGAAAGCACATTAAAAAGAAACGAAACACAAAAATCCTTTTAATAACCAGTTCTTGGCAGGTTTTATGTTTGGACACTAACAGACAAACCGTCCTGATGTTTCTCTGCTGCAGCTAATGAAATTAATTAACCTGCAGGTCAGCTAATACTCCAGTGTCAGAGCGGCCTCTGTGGCATCTGCAGACTCAGAGTCTTTAATCTCACTCTCTTACAGTTCCTCTCAAATCCTCGCTGTCCCCCTCTCTCTCTCTGGGATCAGTTTAATCATTTTAAACAGACGTGGAAAAAGCAGAAGAGGGAGATATGCTGAGAGTTAGTCACTGCTGAGCTGAGGTTTAGTGTTTGGAGCATCACAGTTAGTTACTGTCAGGTGTGTGTGATCACTGTGTGGCTGGTACAGGTTGTTGGCATAGATGCACTGCAGGGGAAGAGATCGTCAAGACCCTAAAATTCAATTTTCAAATCTTTGCATCACAGTTTGATTTAAAATTGATCAATATGCTCCAGTTTATTGGATAGCATGCATAAATAAAAAAAAAATACCCAGATCATTCATTACAAAATCATCTAACATAAAATTATAATAAAATTATATCAATATATTGTAATTAATTGTATTAGTTTAGAAAAAAAGTGACTAAAGCAATAAATTTAGTTTGAAAATTTGGACTTGAACACTCAGCTAATGCAAGTGTGAAAAATGAATATTTATTTGAAATACTGAGTCTAGCTGCTAGAAAAGTAATCACAAAGAGATAACTCAAGACAGACATCCCATTTATAGACAAATGGCATGATATCATTTAAAATGTGTATGTAATGGAAAGAATCACTTATTCAATGAGCAATCTAAATTCAATGACATCTGGAAGCAATTGAAAATGTGGATTTCTCTGAAACGCCCTTCTTTTAAGTTTCTTTTTTATATCAAGATGCACTTGATTTAATTACTTAAATGTGGGTTAGGCAGGAATCCATTAAAGACGCATCTTTTTTTGTGGTGTATATACAAAAAAAGCTTTTAATATCAGTCAATAGCTATTAGTTATTGATTACATTTGGTAATATAACGATATCGCAGTGTTTTGTTATGTCTATGTTTTGTTAAATTTTTAGAGCACTTCGCTCTTTCTGACTGTAAAACAAAGCCATTCTCTGCCTCCCCAAACCTGATTGGGGGAGGCACCTGAATTTTCGAGTACTAGTTTATAAGTTCAAATCGTCACTGTTTCGCACTGTTTTCAGATTATTTTCAAGGTGACACAACACGCTTACATTACTGCAGTAGAAGGAGAAGTAAGCACGGTTTTGGTTTTGGGAGCAGAAAAATGAGTGATGAGAGGACTTTTCTCTTGCAGAGCACCAGATGCTCATTAGCACTTCACCTCTGAATTGTTGGTGGAGACAGCGCTGCTCTGCACACTCATCGTCACGCTAGTTTGTAGCCTAACATTGCCAGTGTAGTAGCACAGGAGCTATTCAACTCTCGGACACAATTGTAATTAGCTTTCTTACGAGCTTTGAAATCCACTACCGCACACTTTTGTTCCGCGAATGTCCTCCATTTCTCAGAGTCTGGCCTTCATAGCAGGGCTCCGGGGTTGGAGTTTGGATTTGTGACATAGGAAATCTCATTGAATCTGCATCTGGCATTTGGGTCCGATTCCTCGATTGATTGATGAAATATTCGGTAGAATACTAGCTGCAGCCCTAAAACCAAACTTTTGTTTCTGAATTTCAATTTTTGTCTCAGGAAGCCAGTAAAAAAAGCAACTACACTTGTTTTTTTTCCGCTGTAGACCTGGAAATTCTGCCATTGTTGACGCAGGAGTTATGTGAAGTCCCGCCCCTATTTGATTTTGATTGGTTGGTAATCATGAATGAGCTCATGCTGATGTTTGAATAGTATATGGTGCTGAATTTTTTTTAGGGAAAAAAAAGGCTGGAAAAGTTCTGCTTTACCGTGAAAATGATGAACATTTCGTGTTAAATAGTTAAGTTTAATTTTAGCACATCATTCATCAAAAAGTCGTGAGCATTACAGAGTGACAGAGCACATTAAATATGTTTTAAGACACGAGCAGCCAGTAAACTGTGTCACCGATTCAGCTTTAAGAAAGTATGATGTGTGTGTGTGTGTGTGTGTGTGTGTGTGTGTGTGTGTGTGTGTGTGTGTGTGTGTGTGTGTGTGCAGGGCCTGCGGGGCTGCTCCAGCCTGTACCAGTACAAACCTCATTAGGGGGATTATAGCTTTAATGGACTGGAGGGGACGGCTGACTGATTCAGATACTCAGCAAGATTTATGTTCCTACAGTACAGTAAGTGAGCATGGCTGAGACACACACACACACACACATACACACACACACTCATAATACATGTCCGCACACATACACACTGTCCTTGGCTTGTGTTCAAAGCTGTGAAATTATGGAGCAAACACACACACTCACAGGAATTCACTCTAAAAACAGCGCCTTATATCTCACACTCTGACAGATACACACGATTGAGAAAAACAGCTGCATGATGTGAGAGTGAAAGAGTTTGACTGTTCTTTTAAGTTGGAAAGAGACAGAATCACACACACACACACACACACACACACACACACACACACACACACACACACACACACACACACACACACACACACAGCTTCATGGCCTTTGTCCACCAGTCAATGCAAAGAGCACTGCGGCGGAACCTATTACCCACACACCGCTGCATCCTGCAGAAAAAATGTGTTAAAACACTGGCGTCTAATCAATTGACCTCAATTATGAGGCTCAGCAGCACCTTCACACTCAACTTACAGAGATAAAGTTTGTGATGAGACACACAGAGTCACAGATATATCTCTGCCGAGGGCTTTTACCTTCAAACATGTTAATCTTTAACTGCTTCAGACCTGAACATGAAACATGGAGCAGAAATCAATGTAACAGTATTCTGAGTCTGTAGATTTTAACTGTTTTTTCAATAATTGAAGAAATTGAGTTTTAAGCGCCACAGTGTATATTAAGAGTTAAGAGAGCATAGTGTGACCACACATGATAATAAACAGTAAAACATGACATGATACAAGATTATATGATACAATACAACATTATAAGATACAATTCAACAAGATATGGTAGAATAAGATACAATAAGATAAGAAACAATACAATATAGTGTAATATGATAAGGTATGCACAATATGATATAATATGTTACCATACCATACTTTACAATATACTGCCATACGATATGATACGAAACCGTAAACAAAATCTAATGAAAAAAAAAAAGGCATAATAGGATTAACTAAATGAAGATACAATACCCCACAATATAATACAGTACCATGTAGATATGATGTACTACATTACAATTCCACAACGACACAGTATGTTAGGTTACGTTTCATTATGTTAGCTTACATGGCATGACAAAACGTTATGTTAGAATACAATAACATACAATTTGATACTATACCGTAGCTCAAGTTACATTGAGTCACGTTATGTATTTTTACTTTTTTTTATGTTTCATTCAGTCATGTTACAACATGTCACGTTACATTAAGTATGCTCTGTTTTGTTACGAGAAGTCGTGTTACCTTTTGTTGTTTTATGTTACGTCTTGTAACGGTATGTCATCTTGGATAAAGTAACAATACATTATGTCACATCACGGTATGTTACTTGTTTTTTATTTGATTTGATGCGATACAATACTCATGTCATGTTTTGTAAAGTCATGCTACATTTCGTCATGTTACATTAAGTACGTTCTGTTTTGTTACATTAGGACATGTTACATTGGGTTGTTTTATGTTACGTCTTGTTACGGTATGTCATCTTAGATAAAGTTACAATACATTTTGTCACATATTTTATACTTGATTTGATGAAATACAATACCCATGTCATGTTTCGTTAAGTCATGCTGCATCATGTTTCGTTACATCAAGTATGTTCTCTTTTGTTACATTGTCATGTTACGTTAAGTTGTGTCACATTACGCACATTCTGTCATTTTAAATTAGGTCTGGCTACGTTTTATTTTGTTACATTATGCCATATTACATCATGTGATGTTGATTTATGGCATGTTCCATAAAGTTACAATAAATTAATGTTACATCACGGTATGTTACTTGTTTTTTTATTAGATTTGATGCGATATGATACTATATATAGAAAATGATAAGACATGATATGATCCAATAAGATTGAATTTGATAAGATATGTTATATGATACAATATGAGATAATTATCTACGATTGACCAGATAAATAAGTTAAACTACAGTTGTATATTGTGTTATTAAAAATCCAAACAAACATGTCACACTTCATGTATCTTAAATATGATCAATGGAAGGAGCAGAAGGAATCTTGTTTGTGTTATTTACATGTTGTATTGAAGTTTGTTAACAATCCAGGGACTTCACTCTGCGCACAGTCGGGGAATTGTTCCTGATGGTCAAAATCAAAGATCTCACTCTATCATCACAGATCATCTCCACCTTAAAAACACAAAGACCTCCTTCCTCCTCACTCATCTTCCTCTCCTCTCCTCCTTTAATGCTGTTTCACTCTGTCCTTTTCTCTTTGTTTTCTCCCCCCCAGCTGTATCCCTTCACCTTTCGATTATCCCCGACACAGGCCACATAAATCATGCGCTCTCTCCCCCCTCATCCTCCTAATCTCTTCCCCTGCTCCTCCTCTCCTCCTCGTCCCCTGGCCTCTGCGCTGGATTGATTTCATTTTAGCTTGTTTTGTTCTTATCCCTCTGACACACACCTCCGTCTTTCTCTGTTATCCTCCAGCTCCTGTACATTATGAGAACTCTGAAGGTGCCACAAATAAACTTAGGAGAGACAATGATCTGGTTTTAGCAGGTTTTAATTAAAGAAAAGTTGAGATTGATGAAGTTCCCAATAATCAGAGTGAAAATCCTTCATGTGCATATTTCCTGTGTAGGCTGACATATGCTTTGTTGCTTCTCCCCCCGCTGTTATTGTTAAAGCCTCCACCTACACCGCCACCTGCTCAGTGTTCGTAAGCATCCTGCATGGTCTCCATTTCTAAATTAAGCCCCTGGACTACAGGGAATTGTTTGCAATGTTGCGAGGTATATGCATCGCTCCAGCAGGGAGCATCATAAAGAGAAGAACCACACCGCCGAGTTATTGCCATTTCTATTTGCAGTTATGTTCAAACTACTGAAGCGAGTGATTCCTGACAGTGGGGATCTTCAGTTTGGAGGCAGCGTCTCTGAAGCTGAGAGCAGATGTACACCCAGACATTTCGTCCGCACTTTTACACTCTAGCTCTGCTTCTGCATCTTTTAAGAGTCTGTTTTCAAGATTTTTGCAGATGGAGTCTATCCTGACTTTTAAAATGTTTGTACTCATGACTGATACTGGGGCAGGGTCAGCAAAAAGTTTTCTGTTGCAGTTTTTGGTGGTTAATCCTCTCACATTGCTTCACAAACTATATCTAATCTCTGGTATTTCCCCAAAATGTGTGCCTGTCTCAGAAGAACCCAAATGCAGACTGTGAATAAACATGAAAAAGACAAAACCTTTCATCTTCTACACACTCTAAAGCAAGCAGTAACTTCTAGTAATAGAAAATGCAATCAAAACCTGCAGTTCCTCAAGTGTCCACTAGAGGCTAGCTGCAGAAGCACCAGAAACCACATACACACTCATTCAAAATTGGCCACTTTTACAGAAAAATTAATTATTTGAAGCCTGGTTCAAAAGAAATGGTGTAGTTTGATTTTTTTTTTTTTTTAAAGATATTCTTAATCTTTTTTTTTCTTTTTTGAGTATTTTTTGGACAATTTTTGCCTTTTATTGATAGTACAGGGTAAAATGTGGGGAGATAGAGAGAGAGAGGGGGAAGACAAGCAGCACATGATCAGGGCCAGACTCGAGCCCGCAACCGCTGGAGGGGCCATGGTCCCCATACATGAGGCGTGCTAACTCACTCGGCCATCTGCACGCCCCTTAGTCTGAATAGTTTTCCTACAGCGACCACAGTTCAGAAAGTAAATTCATTTGTTTTAAAGGGTTAAAAGTTTGGCAAATCAGAAACAAGGCTGACTTGACTGACAAGTGAACACACTATAGCTGTTTGAAAGAAGGCTAACTCGGGATTTCCACCACATCGGGAACGGCTCCGATCCGGAACAGCAGCAATTTTCACCGCACACCAATTCCTACTGGGTCCATTTGTGAGGCGAATTTCGTGGCAGATTACAGACAGCAGAAATCACAAGAACTCACAAGAACCTGCGAATTCACGTGCAATCGCGCAATACCATGTTGTCCTCAGCCACATAGGCTAACCATAGAATCAGTAGATTGTGTCCTTCCAGAGGAGGAAATCTACTTCTGGACTTCTAGAATCAGCATCTCCTCATCCATGGTGTCATCGGGGTGAAATGACAACTATAAACCTTTTACTTGTTTGTCTCCACCTGCTTTCAACACAAACACTCCGCCTGAAACATGGAGTGTTTTATTTTGAAAAGAAGCTGGATGTTTTATTTTGTTTCTGTGCCTGACTTGCTTTTTCAGCACGGGTTAATCTGTGCTGAATTTATCTGGCATGCTCCAGCATCTGGAAAAAATAGAACTCTTGAGATCAGCTGCGGAGTCTGGCGATCCGCAGCAGAATGGAAAGAAGCTGGTGGAAATTGACACATTAACTTGAATGGTTACGATCAGCTACGATCTGTGGATACAGTCTTTTTATAGCCTTTCCAGATGCGGTGGAAATTGCCAGTAAAGGCCCGCCTCCTTCAGCTGACTCAAAGTTAGGTAGAGTCAGCATATCCAATAGTCTTGTTTACTCACCATAGTGTGGGATGATGGCCCAGGCCATGGCTGAGGCATAGATTCCCCCAATCATCCAGAACATGCAGAGCCAGCTCAGATGCTCTCCTCTCTTCTCCCGAGCCAAAACCTCAGCAAAGTACGAAAAGACGATCGGGACAGCTCCGCCAATCCTGCAGGGAGAAATTCACAAGCAATGATTATTTTATTAACCTGCTGTTATAAATCTTTACTTTTAGACAACTATGGTTTTCTGGCAGCTTCTCAGTAAAAGGGTTCAGCTGACTGGTATCCACTGCGGCTAGCCTCCCTCAAAAAATACTGAATTAGCCCTTTAAATCTGGCTGTAACAAATGTATAGTTTCTACTTTCCTGCAGTTTTCTGATGTATTACTGTGCGTGCTGCTCTCAGTGAGTCGGTAAAAACCTGCTTTATTTGATCACTGAGCTTCACACAGTCTGCAGCTTGAACAGATTGTAATATTATGGTCTGTGGATGACGGTCCCTGAACTCTGTGCATCTAATTCAAGTGTTCAGAGCCTCAGACAGCGAGAGAGCAAGGACATTGTTCCTGTCTTATTATAAAACTGTCACTGCTACATAAATCTGCGCATTTCAGTGTTAAACTCAGTTTTAGTTTATTCTGAGCTTTTTTTTTTTCTTGTATTAATACAATATTTAACGCCAGTGAATCTTTGATACGTTTGACTTCAGACAGGACCAATTTTTAATCATAAAGCACATATGTCTTCTTGAAATTAAAATCTCAGCATTGATTTATGATAGCTCATATTTAATCACATTTTATTCCTGTATTCTTCAGGGACAGCCTCAGAAACCTAATCTGTGTGATTTGACAAATTAGCATCTTAAATCCTTGTCTCATCCTTTTCTCGCTATTTGTTGTGGCGTCTTATGGAAGCAGAGTTAATGAGGTGAGGAAACTCTTAATGAAACAAGCTGAATGCGGTCAAACTGGCAAGAAAAACTCAGGCGTATGTCTCCCAGGTTAGAAAAAAAAAAAAAAGAAACTCAGCATTTCTGTTTGAATCTATTCAGGCAGATTTCAGCAAAAAAAGGAAACGTCTCATATCCCCAAAGCTTCATGCATAAACATAAATCTCTTTAAACGTCTACATCAGCGTGCATCTGCATACAGATTGAGAATAAAGTGATGGAATAAAAGCTAAAGGTACTGATGACAAATTAACGCAGAACCATTAAGAAAGAGCTAATTTTTAAAGTCAGCTTTCTGCTCGTACAGCTGTGATCAAACAGTGAAATAAGAGCAAATCAGGTGAGTCTGCTGCAGAAACAGGTGGTTAAACCGAGCTTGATGGCAACAGGCTGGCTGATATGGAGACATGCTGGGAGCTGACTTTATCTTTTCTGGCAGGATTTTGACATTTTTGTTGAAGTATGTCTCAATAACCAGAATTGAAAACTTTTGTGATAGTTTATTTTGTGCGCACATGTGCCCCTGAATACATTTTACAATTCGCACACATCTATTTTTAGTTGCAAATGCAAGTGAAATGGTCGCACAGCTGAGCCCTGAATGTCCCTCAAAAAGATGGCCGAACAAGTTATGATAAATCTTATGAAGTTTTCAGAGATAGTAGTTTCACAAAAATAATTTAAGTTATTATGTAACTGACATAATTTAGCTCCTTTACCTGTAATTAGAGCAGCTAAATTAGCTTACTAGCTAGAGCCCATAGTTTGATAAATGTCATTATGGTAAGTGATCAAAACAGGCTGTGGCAATAGTCAATCCATTTAATATGTCATTTTGTCTTTTTCAGTGTTAAAGCAAATGCTAAATTTTAGCATTTGTGGGGGGCCAGCAGAAGGCAGAGTGGGTAAGCACGCCCTATGTATGAGGGCCACGGTTGCAGGTTTGAGTCTGGCCCCGACCATATGCTGCATGTCCTCCCCCCCCTCTCTCTCTATCTTCCCACATTTCACCCTGTGCAATCAATAACAGGCACCACCCCCCCCAAAAAAAAAAAAATATATATATATATATATATATATGTATGTAATTAGCATTTGTGTATGAATAAAAATTCATGTGATCATGTGGCGCACATGTTTTAACTTCACAACTTCAAGCTCCACTTGAAAGCACCATTACATATATAGGAGAACGGAATATTTCATATATTTATATAAAAGCATGATTTAAAGTGCAGTAGTTAAAGTAACCAAAACTTAAATATGGCCCCTTTCAGCTGATGTCCATTGGACCGTCTCCTGGCTGACACACCATGTGACATAATGGCATAATGGTTCACTCCTGGACCTACTTCATTACATTTATACTGTTCAACTTCCAAGTCAGAGCCTGGCAAGTAAACTGTGGAGCATGTGCAGAATAGGGATGCACCGATTCGCATTTTTAACCTCCAATATCGATACAGATATCTACAGTTTAGTATCAGCCAATACCGATCCAATTCCAATGCAGAAAAGGTGCGCAGAATTACCTTTTTTCGTAAGTTTTACCACCTCCCCTTGGAACATTTACTGTGCAGGTATTGCAAGTGGCTGTCAAGCTTGTAGGCTGAGGTAGTGTGATTAAGTTCAAGAAAGCAGACCCTTTTGCTCACTCTATTTTGAAAACAAAATGGGCATCCACTCAGCATGTTTATTTGTGGATGCCACTCACAGTGCATAGCATAGAGTTAGACTGAATAGATCGGCCCCTATGCATCGGGCCCATTGTCACGATACCCGATCTAGAATTTTCTTCAGTATCGGGACCGATACCAATATCAAATATTGGAACATTCGGGCCAGTTTGGGTGAATACATGCAAGAGAAACTTTATCCCCAACTGTCTTATCTACATTTATTGGTTCAAGTTGAAGAAAAACAAACATTTCAGAGCACTTCATACTTTTGTCTACTGAAAAACTTCATAGGGATGCTGGTTCCTGTTTCCAGCAGGACTTTGCACCTACCCATAGCGCCATAACTACTACCAAATGGTTGTTGACCGTATTTCTGAGCTTGACTGGCCTGACCTCAACCCTATAGAGCAGCTTAAGGGTTTTTGTCAAGATGAGAAACACCCAAAACAAGCTGAAGGCCACTAGCAAAGATAAGGTCTTGCTTTTTTCTCACCAGAATCTTCTAAAGCCAATCACAGACCTTCAATATATCATCTTGAGTCATTAGCAATGGTCCAGTCTCATATATAATCATACAGCAGTGGGACAAACGGCTTTCCATTATGACTGCATTGGTGTCGCTCAGCTTGGTGTTATATAAAGGTTTGGAGGTGACCTTTATCAGTCATATCTGTCCAGAGATGGGGGGACGGGTCTTTATGAAGGATGTGGGCAGCCAAGCAGACCACAGCGGCTCTAAAACACACAGATGTTCCTCTGCTGTATTTCTGCAAACGCTTTGGGTTTTTATTTTTCCCACTACTCCGACTCAGGGGGGTTGGAGATGGGCTGGTGCCAGGCAGTCAGAGTAACCTCCTGTCATGTTGTCTGACTTTGGAGGGGAAGAGAGAGCAGAGGTACCGCTGGGAGATGGATATTCAAAGGAAGAGATAAGCAGACTCACCCAAAGCCAGATACCATGCGGCAGAAGAGGAACATGCTGTAGCCTTGAACGAAGGAGGAGAGGAAGGCGAAGAAGCCGTTAACAGACATGGAGATCAGCAGGCACTGTCTGCGGCCCACTTTATCTGAGAGGCCGCCCCAGAAGAAAGCTCCGAACATCATCCCCAGGTACACGATGCTGCCTGGAAAAAAAAAGGGGAAAGATGTAAACCCAAATAAAAAAGTCATTAACCCAAAACAAGACATTGGAATCAGTTTTGTAGAAATCAGGTAACGTGCACGACAACTTGTTGAGTCATAAACCATTTTTAGTTTTATATCTTATTCCCAATCCCCCAGTTTTGAGGTGCATGAATATCACACACGAGTGCCGGTCATTGCACAATACCAAATGGGAACTTTGTTAGTCTTCTAGTTCGGTCTGCACCCGGTGACACAGCAGGAATACAAGGTCCAGCTGCTCACAAATCCTCACCCACAGCAGCCAATCACGCACTAACACATAAAGCGGTGCCTTGCAGGTGCATCTCCTGAGTAATATAGAGCTTGGGCTGAAATTGGTTCTGTTGTTTCCCGGTTATCGACAGAACACTGAGAGGTCATATAAAGTGTACGTCCATAAAAATAGCAGAGCTGAAATCGATTAACTCAACACTGTACATCAACTGGAATGAAGCTTTACTTTTCCATTTCCTCCCTCTAATTATGATTGTCAGTGTCTGGACTTCACTGTCGACAGTCTGCGGTAGGTAGGAAGGTAGGTTCATTATCTGTGGACAAACAATGAGGATTCCCATCGAAGGAAAAACAAAGTGTAAAAACAGCTGCTGCCAGATCTGCCTGTGCACAGCTAATAACATGTTCAAATAAAGGCTTTATGTTTGCATTTCATTTATCTATTGACTGCTGCCTAATGTGGTAACTTGATATTCCAGTCATTTATCCTGCAGGATAAGAAAGATTAGATTTCACTTTAGTCCAGCTGAGGATTTTATTCATACTGATTCGGCTTATAACAAAGATGTCAGTAATCAGCCAACAACAGAAAATGTACTGTATCAGTAAATTTACACAGATAACCATTGTTTTTCGAGGACTATGTGGATGTTAAAGAGCTGCTTCGTGAGCTGCTGGTCTCACGAAGCAAGTGGATTTTATAGTGAGTCAATATATTGATTTGGAAGGCATCAAGCAACTAGTCAGAACCAGTTTGGATGGAACCTGTTTTTGATTTCCACTTCTAATCACAGTAAAACCAAGCAAAGCTCTTACAGTTCCCCCTGGTGCCTGCCTGTAGCATATATCACAAACCCCTCCTCCTCTATTATAACTGATTGATCATGCGTCTCACCAAAATATTAATTAACAATAGCACTAGCTTTGGACTTAAGTATAAGAACTTAAATATTATTACTGTCTTTCTGCTGACAAAAAAACATGGTTTTCAAATAAGTAGCATATTTGGATTTGGAGATATCTTACTTAAGTGAATCACAGACTCCTGATTCTTATTGGATTCAGTTATTCATGAAACCAGTGTTTTGAAGTATAAACTGCTTCTGTTGGATTTGAATAAAAACAGATTTAAAAAAAAAAGGTTAGAAAGTATAAATTGATTCGTAACCAAAGGAGGCACTTCAAATTTCTGAGCGTCAGTTTTTTTAAAAGTGCTGACTCATGTCTCTGAGAGCTACTACTGTTAGCTCGCTAGCAGCTGCTTCTTCTTCTTTGTCGTTTCACATTTGGATACCTGCATAAATTACCACTCACATGACACCCCCTATAGTTCATCACACTGTTTTGGCTAATTAAGACACATGCTAACCCTTTGCTCACAAACTACTGAATACAGTGTTTTAATTTTACAACTTTAATCTTGAAATCTAGTTTTTCTTTTTCCATTCATAGGCCTTGATACTCCAACATATACATCATAGCATTGAAGTCACATGAATCCTGTAAATATGTAAATAATATCTGTGAAATCAGAGTTATTCTCAGGTAAAGTGAAGTAAATTGAGAAGTATTAAAGTCTAAGCGTTAGTCCTTTTTTGCAGCTTCTTTTCTGCAGGACTTGGGGGTCGTTTCTCTTCCTGTCCTCGCACCATGCAGCACAAAGGAAGGTTTACAGAGAGGGCTGGGGGGTTGTCAGGCCAGTAAATAATTCACTTTACTCTATGTGCTAATAAAAATGCTAATGTGTTTGTAGGGGGGGTGATGCGTTTGTTTGACAACGCAGCAGAACGAAAAGGCAGAAGAGAGGAACTCTTTTTTTTTCTTTCTCTTTCTCTTTCTTTTTCTCGTCCTCAGTGTTTGAGGTGATGGGACAGATACGCTGAAAGTAGAGAGTCTTATCAAGCAGCGCAGACATGATGCTGAGAGCCAGTGATTCATTACAGGTGACAGCCGCTGGGTCTATCTATGCACAGCTGCTGCAGAGGAGACTCTGCTATAGGCAGCAGGATATATGGAGCAAACAGCCCCTCTGCTGGCTCACAAATATCAACCCCAACATCAAAAGTGCTGCACTCGGCACAAACTGGGCACATCTTTTTATCTGTGTAACTGCTCACAAACGCTGCATGTGTACGGAGATGCTATCTTTGTAACAGCGGCTCATTTGTTTTATGGCTCCCCTTGCAGTGAGGGTTTGTATCTGTAATAAAGGGGGAGGGGAGTGGGGTGATAGGGCATCTGAGACACAGTATGAATCTTACTGAGATTGGATTTGTGATTTCCTGCAGGGTTCAAACGCAGGTCAGACCTTTAAACCTCCTCTAGCGTTAAGTTTGCGGTTTTAATGTAAATGACGGAGGGTCGGTTCAAAGCTGCAGGACAAAAAGGACAGCAGGTGGGTTTTTAATGTGTTTGAGAGGCTTCATGTGTTCACCGACACCAATATAGTCAATCAGAGCAATTCACAGTGTAGTAACTTTAGATGATTCAATATTAACAAGTTCATCAGTTTGTTATTTTTGGGTCACAACTGTTTGTGATTCAGGTTGAAAACATCAGCCGCAATCTATCCATCATCAACAATCATCCATTCATCCATCCATCCACCTATCAGTTTATTCATCCAACAATCCATTGATCTGTCCATCATCCACCATTTATCTATTCATCTATCCACGAGTTAATTCATCCAACAATTCATCAATCTATCCATCACCCACTGTTCATCCATTCATCCATCCACCAGTTAATTCATGCAACAATCCATCATCCTATCCATCAACCACTGTTTATTCATCCATCAGTTTATTCATCCAACAACCCATTGATCTATCCATCATCCACCATTCATCCATACATTCATCCATCCATCAGTTCATTCATCCAACAATTTATCAATCTCTCCATCATCCACCGTTCATCCATTCATCCATGCACCAGTTTACTCATCCAACAATTCATCAATCTATTCATGATCCAACTTTAATCTTTGATCTATCCATCCATCCATCAGATTATTTTTCTAACAATCCATCAATCTGTCCATCATCTACAGTTCATCCATCCATCAGTTTATTTATCCAACAATCTATGTATCCATCATCCACCATTCATCCATCCACCAGTTTACCCATCCAACAACTTATCAATCTATCCATCATCCCTTTTTCATCTATTCATCCATCCACCAATTAATTCATCCAACAATTCATCAATCTATCCATCATCCACTTTTCATCCATTCATCCATCCATCTGTTTACTTACCCAACAATCCATCTTTCTATCCATCATCCACCGTTTATCCTTTCATCCATCCACCAGTTTATTTGTCCAACAATCCATCAATCTCTCCCACATGTACTACTACTCATTTATCTCTATTCCTTTATTCATTTATAAATAAAGTGGTCTATTCATCCATTCATCTGTCCAATCACCGATCAATTCTATCCGTTGATACATTTAATTAGCCATCAAGTTATTATCCATCTCTTCCTTTATACATCATCCATCCACCTATTCATCCATCCATCTGGCTAACCACTGATCAATTTCATCTATATATCCCACGAATCTATCCATCCATCCATCGTTCCACCTGTTCACCCATCTGTTTTTATATTTATATCCATCATCCATTCATCCTCTCATCAAAACATTCGTCCATTTTCTATCTTTTAACTTTTCATCCATCAATCAATCCATACATCATCCATCCACCTATTCATCCATCCATCTGTTTAACCACTGATCCATTCCATCCATCTGTTCACCCGTCCATCATCCATCCATCCTCTCATCAAAGCATTAGTCCATTCATCTTCTATCCTTTTACCTTTGTATCCATCCATCCATCCATCCATCATCCATCCATCCACCCACCCACTTGTACTTTATCTATCATCCTCATATCAATCTATCTTCCTGTTTTGTCATACATCATCCATTCATCACTCCATCCATCCATCCTTACATCTGTCCAACCACCTGTAATTCATCCATCATTCATCAATCCATCTTCTTGTCCTTTAACACAACATCCATCCATCCTTTCATGTAACATCAACTAATTCATCCATCCTTTTAACTCTCTATCCATCCAGTAACCCATCTGTACATTCACCTATTGATCACCTGTGTTAACCACCAATTCATCCATCCATCCCTTTTCTTCATCATCCATTCCTTTTTTTGTACATTAACTGACTCAGTCATTCATTTCTAAAATGGGAATACGGTAATTCCATGAATCAACGTTCAGAAAATAAAACTCGAAAGAGAAACTCCACGGTTGTTGATTTAAAGAAAATCTTGTCTCTGGCTCTGACGGGTTTCATAGATCCGTTTTATACAGAATGGTAACATGTGAACTCTTTCTATCTAGAGCTCTGAATGAAGATGCTGTTACACAGTCAGTCTCACTAAAGTTGTGGTGAGCTCACCTGAGTTAAAGAGCTAATCTCTTCTCCTCCCATCAGAGAGCGTCTGTGCTCTTTTTAACGGTACACTGTGCATCTACAGGGATTCATTCAGCTAACTCTTAAACCGTCTCCATGCACACTGCTGCTCTTTTCTCTGCTTTTAGTAATTAGCTCTTATGTGTGAGTGTAATTCTCTGTTGACATCTTTCTGCTCTGTTTTCTCAGAGTCCGGGCATGGATGAGAGGAGAGCTCAGGCAGACAGACAGACAGCAGTCGGCTGAATGTGGCGCTAATTTCCTCAGCGGGACCGTTCAGGACATTTCGTGAGAGCTTCAGGGTTTCAACAGCTGAGGGAACTCCCAGAGGACTGTGTGTGATTGACAGGTGGGCTGCAGCAGAGGAGGAGGGTACACCCATGGGAGCGAGGCACATTCCCGGGGTTTTAATTACATCAACACCTGCTGATTTGTTTTTGTAATGGTGCCGTTTCTCTCAAAGACTCAAACACTGTTACACAGAAATTTACCACCTAAAGGGATCCATCCAGTTCAGAGGCAAACCATTATCACAGCATAAAAATGATTAAGTCTTCGCTCTAATCAGCCGGCTGGGATGAGTTCAGGGCCAGTCAGGAATTTTGTGTTCAGGTGAGGATAGATGATTGGAAATGTTTTCTATCAACACTCTTTGTTGCTGATAATTCTGGAAAGATCTGGAAACAATTAACAAAAAAAAAAAAGCTTATTTTTTTTAGGCATATGGGAACCGGTATATAAAATAAAACCCCGCTGGGACCTTTACACAAGACCTATTGAGACTAGTTGAACCAGGTTTATGGGAGCCTGTTTAGGCCTGTTCAGGTCAGTTTTGAAGGACCAGTTGGAATGAGTTGCAGGAAGTGTGTTGTGTTCAGATTTCCACTGCATTCGGAACAGCTCTGATCCAGAACAGCAGTGATTTTCACCGTACGCCAATTCCTTACTGGGTTCGTTTGTGAGGCGAATTTCATGGCGGATTACAGACAGCAGAAATCGCAAGAACTCACAAGAACCTGCAGATTCAAGTGCAATCATGTGATATCAAGTTGTCTTTAGCCACATAGGCAAACCATATAAGCAGTAGATTGTGTCCTTCCAGAGGAGGAAATCTATTAGACTGCTAAAATCAGCATCCTCTCATCCATGGTGTCATCGAGACGAAATGCTGTCTATAAACCTCTCGCTTGTTCGTCCCCACCTGTTTGCATGCTGTGAGATACGATCTGCCTGAAACACGGAGTGTTTTATTTTGAAAAGAAGCCGGATGGTTTATTTTTTGTCTGGGCCTGACTTACCTTCCAGCACGTGTTAATCTGTGCTGAATTTATCCAGCATGCTCCGGCGTCCAAAAAAATAGAATATAGTTCCGTTATAAAGTTATAAAGAAGCCGGTGGAAATTTACAAATTAACTTGAATGGTTACAATCAGCTACAATCAGTAGATACAGCCTTTTTGAAGCCATTCCAGATGCGGTGGAAATTGGGGGTGAGGTTGTGACCTGGTCAGGCTTCAGGTGACTTTCTGAGTCAGTTTCAGGCATCCGTTGTTGTCTGGTTCATGGTGCCTGTAATGGTTAGTTTGAAGATCATTAGGGGTCTGTTTTGGTGGGTTGCAAAGGTCCAGTTAAGTCTGTGGTGGATAAGTTTGAAGTTATTTACTGGGATCCGTTTTAGACAGGGTCTAGATTCTCTTTGGGGTTTGTTAGGGTTTGTTTCAGGGTACCTGTTGGGGTTTGTGATCATGGGTCACAAAAATCCTGTTGGGGTGCTCGGTCTTATGGTACCTGTTGAGTTGACCACTAATTGTTGTCTGTTGTTGTCTGTTTTGGTGAGTTTTGGTAATCCCTACGTGGTCTGTGATGGTCAGTATTCATAGTTCATAGTTTAGTTTATTTTGGTAATCCGTTCATGTAAACAGTTATATTACATAATACATGGGAGTTAGAAATAATAAATACTGTTAATTACTTGGTTTGACCAAAAAAGGGTATAGGCTGAAGCTATCAGCTTATTGCGCCTACCCCTTCCACATACAGAGTTTTCATGACATTTTTATACATATGTTTTTTTTCTTCTATACAGAGAAAATTTTAAAATAAAGAAATACATAATGAACAAGAACAAAATACTTGTCAAAACCCATCAGGGGATACAGACACCCTCTAAGGTTTTTCAGGTCAGTCTAAAGTGATTCTTCAGCTTCCTTGTACTTTATAATCATCATGTTTTTGAACGCTTTTTTAAACATGTAGATTGAACTGCACTTCCTCAAGTCCTTATCGCAGCATGTCCACAGACTTACACCTTTTACAGATACACAATGTTGTTTTGTATTAGTCCTAACTAGTGTTTTTGTAAACATACCTATACTTCCAAGTTTATATTAGGTATCTTTGATTACAAACAGCTTCTGGAGACTACATGGCAGCAGATTGTTATGTGCTTTCAACAAAATCAATAAAGGTTTGGAGATTAACTAGATCAAAGAATTTAAGAGTATGAAGTTTGATGAATAAATCGTTTGTTGGCTCACGATACTCTGCTCCCATGACTATTCTTATAGCTCTTTTTTGTAGTATAAATATAGGATTGACATTTGTCTTATAGATATTTCCCCAATTCTCTATACAGTATGTCATATATGGGATTATAAGGGAACAGTATAGTAAATATAGTGAGTTCTTATTCAGGATTTCCCTGGATGTATGTAGTATGGCAATAGTTTTTGACATTTTCCTCTTTACCTGATCAATGTGAGGTTTCCAGTTTAATTTGTGGTCAATTAATACTCCGAGAAATTTGTATTCGTAAACTCTTTCAATAGTGATGTTATTTATTCTTAATGTGACTTCTTTTTCAATCTTTCGGTTCCCAAATATCATGAGTTTTGTCTTACCTATGTTCGGGGATAGTTTGTTCCGGTCAAACCACATTTTGAGTTTGTTCAATTCCACTTCAATAGTCTTCAGAAGCTCTTCCAGGTCTTTCCCATGACAAAACAAGTTAGTATCGTCCGCAAATAAGACATAATTAAGAAGGTTTGACACATTGCAGATATCATTGATGTATAAAATAAATAGTTTTGGCCCCAAAACGGATCCTTGAGGGACTCCACAATTTACTTTCTGTCTACTTGATTTCACATTGTTAATTTCTACAAACTGTTCAAGACACCTACATCCTTTGGGGTCTGATATGCTCAGTTTGAAGTTACCAGTTTAGGTTGTGGTATCCGTTGGTGTCTATTGAGGTTTGTTTCGAGGTGCAGTTTTTGAAAGGAGCCAATCCAAAGAAGACTTTTTATTTAGTGAGAAGAGTTAATATGATTAAAATAAACAAACGAGCAGAAATCCAAGAGGGAGTTTTTCGAGAAAATTCAAGAACCACAAGACCACTCAGTGAGGTTTTATGGTTAATCCATGTTGAATTGTGACCCCTCTGCCCAGACCCTGAATGGGAGAGTCGATCCTGTCTTGGTGCTTTTGTTGTGAAGGAGAAAGAGAGGAGGACAGAGGATGAAGAGATGGTGGCCAGTGTCCCTGGATGTTTTAATTAGCTAACCTCGGGCTGCAGCAGCAGAGGCTGTTTATCACCGCTTTGTGTTGGCTCACTTCAGCTGTCGATGGACTTTGTGATTGTAAACCAAGAGAAACCGCAACACATAAAAGAGCGAAATAACAACAATAACAACAGCAGCAACAACACAACATATTACTGAAGAACCTAAAACTGTAACTGTGGTGCAGAAAAAACGCCTGCAGAGAAATTTCAGCCATATGTTGTAGAAGAGAAAAAACAGAGGAGGTGTATAAAAGCAGCACTCCTCCCCTCCAACCCCCACCCTCTTTTTCTCCGGAGAGCTACGTGAGCCAGTCTACCATGGCTAAACTGCAGTGAAGCACAATGCTGCAGAGATTAACTCCAGCACATATCTTCAGATCGGCTGCACGGCTATGAGACACAGAGAGGGTGTAAGAGGGGGATTACAGCGGGAGGGTATACAGAGGACAGACAAGAGCCGGAGAGCCGGGAGGGAAAATACAGGAACATCCCAGATCTGGATAACATCTCACCTTTTGTATTAAATCACAGAGAACTTTTTTTTTTTTTTTTTTCATGGAAAACTCAGAGTGGATTAAGAGGAGCATCCTTATGAATGAATAATGAAACTCTGAAGTGAGCATCAATTACATGCATTTAAAGTCCTTTCAAAAGGATCAGCCATCTGTTTGGATGATGTTTGGCTCATTGATTTGGAGTTTTGTGGTGGATTTATTACGTAAAAATGAAATCTTAAAATATTTTCATGGTTTGTTAAATCAATGGGTGGTGAAAAGGTTGATTATTAGGAAGTGTTTTTTCATAATAATAAGAAAATATTTTCTAATTTACACACTAAAGCAAAAAAACAGCATTAAACTATTAAATAAACTTGTTTTTGTACAAATTATTCTGCTTTTTTTACCTGAGAGTACATTTGCAGTGGAGTTTTTTTGTTTTAAGTATTTTGTTCATTGCTAAAACCATTTTCTAAATCCACAGATCTGATATCAGATTTGCCAACATACTTCAAACTGAGACCCACACTTCTCTCAGAAATTTCTGTAAAATTAACAACCTGGAAAACTCCTAAATTTGCTCAGTCAGGTCCATGAAGGTGAGGAACAAGACATGTCCGCGGTCTGATTTCCCACCTTTTGATTCATACACGAACACACCACCAAACTTTCTTTTCTAAGAGACTGTCTGAAATTGTCTATTACCTCTTTCTGGCTAATAATCATGGATGGACCCTTTATACTGTGCCTAAAGTAAGATAATTTTGCATTAAAACTGGTAGAACAACACTACTTACACAACACATACTCAGTAAAACTTCAGAGGAACTTTTTTAAAATCCAATGGAGACACATTATCTGTAAAATATTGTGTTTTCTATGGTAAGAAGCTTTATGTAATAGAAGTTTGGGTCTGATTCTTAACCTGAAAGGCTAAAGTTGCATTAAACTTCACACTGATTTGAATGAGGCGTCATATCCTACAAGTATAGGACCAATAAGCATGGGTAAGGGTGAATTTGTAAAGGAATATCTGTGATTAAAAGACAAAAATGTTTGTGTATACTCTCCAAAGTTGGGAAGGAGTCACTGAGAATAAATAGCAGCTGTTAACAGTATTAACCTGTCCACGTAAAACATGTCTGGCTAAAATACTTATGCACAAAAACGCCTGTAAGGTTTTGCAGCTCTGTGCGGTTTAAAGTGATAAGCTGTCAGTATCTTCACTCTCTTAGCTTAGTATCTTTACAAATAAAGTTGAGTTGAGTTGAGTTGAGTTAGCTGCACCGCTCGTGCTCAGATCCTCACAGAAATCTAATAATGTGAAGTTAGTTCGTAACAGTTCAAAACTTTAATTAATAAAAGTTTTGTGTTTAATTGGGACTGCTGGCACCTTTCTGTTTTTAGTAGGGGTGTCCCGATACAGTCGGATCGGATATAGGTCGGATATCCACAGAAAAAACAAATATTGGATTATATCGGCCTGCATCTAAAATCTCCAATATCAGCATTTCAATACAAGCAGTCCACTCCAGACTCTGCTCCAGCACCTCTAGCTAGCAGCACCCAGATCCAGCACGCAGAGCCCACGTAATCACAACAACAGTGTGTACTAAGGTACTAACAAAGTAGCAAGGAGTAGGAGTGATGTCGGCCGTGTGGCAGTATTTTTTGTTCAAGTCCGAAGAAGACGTTGCAGCTGAGTGCAAAACTTGTCATGCACAAGTTTGTGCTGATATCCGATCAATATCAGTAATGATCAATACTGAGGGTTTTAATATCAGTATCATATTGGAGGTCAAAAAGTTGTATCAAGACAGCCCTAGTTTTTAGTGTGCACTATGAGTCAGCATTTGTTTGGCTCTCTGTTAAACTTACTCTAATTCACCTGCATGTAGAAAGAAAAGGTTTTGGTCACGTGACAAGTGACTTAATAGACGACAAAGTCATCATTTGTCATATCTTTGTTGGTGTATTTGTAGTTAAAAGACTCCTGCAGGACCTCATAGGTGTCCCACACACCAGATTCTCTGCAGTATTCAGCCTTACTAAGCTGACACTCCAGTATTTCGGTATCACCTGTAACTCTGTCTGAGTAAAGTTCATATTGCATGCTTTGAGTCCCCCTGTTTGCGTCCAAGAGTGCAGCACATACTCTTCTTTTTATCCAGAGGGCGCTTATATACGACAACCTGAAAAACTCCCACGGCTCAATACAGTGCGAAAGGCAACGTAACACAACCTGGCAGGAGTCCTGACCTCAGAATGAGTCAGCTGGGCATAGCTGGAAAAGCCCTTTCTACCTAATCAATATCTATTTCTGTAAAGGTGATGTAACATATAGGACCTGATCCAGCGGAGTTTACTCCAGCTCCCAGCCTGCTGAAGATTCATGATGCCTGTTAAAGCATCTCCTTAAAGCATGCTCTCAGACTCTAATTTAATTATATGTAAATTTGCAGAGATTAAAAATGTGGCGCCCTAACCGATGAGGAGGATTCGTCCCTCACTCTCTTGTTTTTAGTCTCTTTGAGGAGAAGAGTGTCCACTCACGAGACTCTTACCGAGCACTTCAAAGAGTCACTTAACCTTCACAGAAAAGCTGCGGTTAAACACCAATCAGCTCTATTGTGACAGGTTTACATCCACAAGTGAGGAAACACTCACATACATTATTTATACAGCATGTGTGTGCGAGCTGGTAAAATGAGTCACTCTCTCTCTATATTCTCGCTCTCTCTGCCATCTCCCACTGAGAGATGAGTCAGAATCTGGGTGAAATCTGGGTGAATAATGAAACAAAAACAAACAAAGGTAACATTTTCTTTTTATGTAATCGAACCATCAAATCGTAGAGTGAGAAGCCCGTCGTCGCCTTTAAATGGGAAGTGACTAATCTTTTAATCTAACACTGATCGTGGAAACAGAACACTAAGTGGGAAAGACTGCCAACGCCGTGCGGCTATTTCTCATATTTGTGAGCAAACAAACACACCAGACGCACAACTTTTCCCCGGTGTGGGAGAAATTCATCTCGCTTAACACACCTCCCACTCGTGCATCCAGATACCTGGTGCCATGACAACCCATTGGCAAGCTACTAAAGCAATGAGATAACTGCTGTTCAGTGTCACCCACCAGCGCTCTCTCCATGTACAGCCCGGCACGTCACAAACAGACGGTAAACACATTTCCTTTGTTCCAAATCTGCACCTTAGCTGTCAGAGTGGATTTCTGTGTCTGCAAACTTTCGGCTGGATTGTTATTTTCTGCAAACAGGAGATTCAGGAGGCTCCTTATCAACATCAATGCCAGAATTTCTCACTAATAAGAGAACAAGGAGGATGAATCGAAACCCAAGACACCTCACATCCAGCAGAGAGGCTGTGGATTTCACTCACTAACACTCAGCCTTCAGGCTTTGACCTGCGTCCTCATTCATCACTTAAAACAAGCACTACTGTTCTCCATCTTGGTTTGTTCCATTAATCACTCTGTAATCCAATTAAGCTGAGCCTAATGCTGTTAATTCACTCTGTCGGGTCAGGTTTGAGGTTTTTGTCTCTATTGCAAAATGAAAGTAAATATGACTTAAAGGCACAATAAGGACTTTTTATGTTGGGACAAAACCAGAGGAATTTTCAGAGGTTGAAGACTGACAGTTCCCATGTAGAGTGACCAGGTGCAAACAGGCCACATGTGGGATAGAAAGTGTGGATCAATGTGCAGGGCTCGACAGTGCGACTGTTCAATCACATTTGCAACTAAAAATAGATGTGTGCAAATTGTAAAATGTATTTAGGGGCACATGTGCACATAAAAAAAAATCAGCCGAGGCAACAAATGTTTTTTCCTGTAAATACTGCGGTGAAGTTAGTTTTAGGTTGGATATGCGACGGACACTCACTGCAGATCTACCAGTGTCTTCTCACTCTCCATAACCAGGAATAGCAACAGCAGCGCGGTTAAATCTACTCGGCATCCTCACTGTCAATGTCGTGTGTTGAATAAGGGACCATCAATAAATTACCGATTGATGTTCTCAAACAAGGCTGTTTTTCTTCAATAGCTTCCATGTCATGTGACCAATTGATATAGCTGATGTGATTGGTCAATACATGTCTCGGCTGTGTTAAATCCACTCCATGCCCTCTCTCCTCCCTCGCTATGACTTAGGCCACTGGGAGGAGCTGAGTTGGGGAGGGGGGATACTTATGCCGGGGTGCGCCGCTAACCAAAATACCAAATTGTGCTTGGGAACCCCTTGTCAGCGCGGCGGAGCTGACTTACGCCACGCCTGCGCCATGTCTCTGGCGAAGCACGAAAATAGAGCCCTCCCGTCCCAAGGCTGACGAAGGATTGTAGGTGTAAGTGGAACTCCTGAAACATGCAAAAGCAGCAGAACTAACCAGAAATCTCTGGACTTTGGCGGGAATGTTGACACTGACTTAACATTTTGCACATGCTCTTATGCTTACACCTTAATTTAGAGCTAAATCATTTTTGAAAGTTAAATTAACACTCCAGGGGACGATCTGGGGCAGATCCCATATACAGAGGCTGCACAGGCAGCTTAGATTTGTTTCCAGCCTACAGCCCCTTTCTTACATGTGCCTCAACAATCTGCTGTCCTGTCCTTTCAAAATAATGGCAAAAATCCACAGAGATGAATCTCCTAAAGTAAAAGTCAAAGCTTTATTTGACAGAATGAGCACTTTATTTCTGTCTCTTTCCTCTCAGTGATGGTGAATTTAAACTGTGATTTATCACGATTATTGTTATTCTGCAATTAATCGCGATTAAAAGATTAATCATTTGATAGCCCCAACATTTGTTTAACTCTCTAACTTAGCAAAGCCCTTGTTGAAGTGAGTCTCCATTTACAACAAACAATAAATTCCTTACCAAGCCACCCAGCTCCTGAGTTTGGGACACACATGTCCGTCTCAGCACTTGGCAGGACGAATCCCACCACGAACACCTCCACGCCGTCCGACATGAGGGCCAGCCCCAGAACAAAGAACAGCTGCCACTGGAACCTCCCGTGTCCGCACTCCTGCATGATCAGCTCGTACTGCTGGGCCAGCTCCTCCTCGTCAGCCTGCCTCTCGTTCTCCAGCTCTTTATGGCTCTTCTGACTGTCAGGAACCGGCTGGCCTAAAGCCACCTGACCGTCCCGCTGTTTCCCGTCGTTAAAGGCCGGCACACCTTGGTACTCCCCTTCGTAGATCTCGTCTTCATCATCGTGGCCTTCTGTAGCATCACTGGAGGCCCCTTCCTCGTCGTTGGCGGCGTTGTCAGCGTAGTGGCCATCTTGCTGATGGTAGGAATTGTAGTTGCCATCTTCTTCGTCCTCGTTTTCAAAGCGGTTGTAGCTGCGATGAGTCGAGTACTCATCTGAGGCACGATCCACGGCTTTGCTGAAATTTTTGGAGGCGTGCCTCTTGGCCTCTTTGGCGATGTCTTTGGCGCCTTTAACCAAGGAAGTCCTGTTGTTTTGTGTTTCATCCATCTTGGCACGAAGAGATCAGGCACTAAAAGTCTTTTAATTCAACCTTATTGAGCTTTTATTCCACCAGGAGCTACAATCATAAGCGCCTTCGTTGTGGTCTTCTCTTCCCTGACAGATCGAGACTTAAGGCAGTTTATTGGTGCTAAAAAGCCTCTCAGCTGCCAGAAAGCTAATGATTAAGTAATGATGTCTAATTCCATTGGATGGGAGAGGCCAGACTGTGCTGAAATGGAGACAGCTGATCTCAAATTGGACAGACCCTCAGTCCTGTCAGGGCTCAGCAGAAGAGACGATCAGCCTGTGGGGACAGACAGACAGAGAGAGAGAGAGAGAGAGAAGAGCAGGTTTAGCCTGATTATCAGCTGTCTGTCACAAATACTTGACTGCAGGATTTCTTGGCACACAGAGAGGAACTTGGGACTCTGGAAAAGACGGCCAAGCTTCCCTCAGTGGATGATACAAACTGTTTTCTGTTGCTTCCTAAGAAGATGGAGAACAACAAAATAAAATAATTCATTGATAAGAAATCAAGCAATGACATTGAGTGCTCCCAGAGTAGAATCAACCTTTGACTTCAGCTTTTGATAGTTGATAGTAATAAAATAACCGCATGTTTCTGTAAAAGGATGAAATTAGGAGTGTACCCTTGCTATAATGAGCTCTTTATGCTAGACGTAAACAAGCACAGACAGCAAATGTGTCTCGGTTGATTACTCGTGTTGTGTCACCATTTCAGAGAAAACCTTATTCCCTATAAATGTGATTGTATTTGAGTATTTGGATTGTTTGCATTTCCCCAAATTTTATGTACACTGAGAACCAAAAATATAAAATTGAATGAATATCTGACTCAGGTTTTGTTATTGCATTATTTTGTTTTGCATCACTGAATGCTGCAGGTCAAGTAGAATTGAATTAAGTTGAACAGAATGAAAAATATTCATCCCAAACATCTTTGTATGTTTTGGTGAATTCAGAAATATTCGGTTCTTGTAAATTTGGGCTTCTGAGACTATGTTTCCTGTCAGCACCGATCATATCTGGGTTATGTCTCAAGTACATGTCAGCATGTATGAATGGCTCCCCTCAGGACTCTCTCCACTGCGGCCGCTCAGCAGACTTGTCAACACATCAGGCCTGAGCCGTCTGTTTCCACAAGTCCCCAGGCCCGAAGTCTGCTGCAGGAGAAACAGCAGCCAGCTTTGGGCCCTTATGTTACACTGAAGTTCCCGAAACACACAGATATTGACAAGCTAGTTACAGAGCATAGACAGGGGGAGAAAATGAATTAACTGCACATGCAAAACACACAGGTAGAAGTAGGTATATTTAACTGGTCAGCAAAATACCAAGACCACACTTGAAGGGGTTCCGAAGAGACCAACACAAAAGGGTTTTACTTTGTGAGATATTGAATGTGCCCCTGGCAGTAGCGGTTCTAGGCACGGGCGAACAGGGCAGCCGCCCGGGGCGGCATTTGTGTCATGACTCATGGGGGGCGGCACGAGCACTTCCAAAAAAATAAAATAAAAGATAATAATAAAAAATCTTAACCGCAAAGCGGTTTTGTATTAACTCTTGTTGTCAAATTGGCGCCCCCCGTTGCTGTAGGCGCCCCTGCTTGCTCCGAAGGTGCTGCACAGAGGCTGACAGACTGTAGGAGACGAGGCGGGGAGAGAGTCGCGGGGGGACAGCTCTGCTCTGTGTACGCATGTCAGCATATCAGCGGGAGCGCGGATACGTCATTTTGTAGTTTTTTAATCATTTCTGGAGTCGCGGTGAGTGAAATCACCGTACCCGTCTGCCTTTGATAGGCGAATAAAGCGCTCGGGTTCATGCTCGGATCTTGCTACATGCTTGATGAGCTTAATGAGTAAAGTAAACAATGACCGAGACAGAGAGCAGCTTCAGAGGAGAAACATCCAGCAGTGTGAACAACCTCTTCATATGGAGTGCTTTGGCTCACACTATCAGCGTTTTCTCTGAGTGTTGCATGACTTTGGGTGAGAACAGAGATGAACACACTGTCAGCCACGTATTTATTTATTCATTTTTTAGTTTTTAGTTCTGCTTTTGTACTGGCACTATACTGGGGCAGCTGTTTACCCTTTCAACACCTTATTTTCTATATTTACATTTCTATTGAATGGACACTTTATCATGACTGCCACTTGTTTAACAGAAAGCAAATTATTTGTCATTCTCCAGTGCAGAGCCTTTACTTTTATTTATACAGCCGCCTTATTTCATTTGAGTTTGTTTGTTCTTTTTCAAAGATGTGATGAAGGTTCGCAAAACTTAAAGAGAGCTTTCTTGAAAGCCACATGTTTAAGCTCTCCAATACTTTTTGAATTTTGTTTCTATCTACTACAGAGGCCGAGATAGCAGCTGTTTTGTAAACCTTAACACGTCAGAGAACCTCAGGATCTGGGGGCCCTTCTCAAAATGGCCCAAAATGGATTTCTGCAATTGAGAAATATATTATTTTTTTTGTTATGATAATAATAATACTACATAGTAATACAAAACTATCTGTTCAAAATTCTATCTCTTTTTGTGTTTGTGTGTGTGTGTGTGTGTGGGGGGGGGGGGGGGGGGCACTTGGAGGGGGTGCTCGCCCGGGGAGTAATTTGGTCTAGAACCGCCACTGGCCCCTGGATACCTTTCCAGTGGTAGCAACAAAGACATACTCTTTGGATAACCCCTCAGTATATAAAATATTGAAGGCCTTTCCAATGGATATAACTTGAAGTTAGAGCACTTTGGGTACCCTTCCAATGGTAAAAACAAAGAATAGTGCTCCCTGGATGCTATTCCAGGATATCTAATATAAAAAACACATCCTCTGAATGCCATTCCAATACATATCACACAGAAATAGTGCACTTTGTATGCCCTTGCAGTGTAAAAAACATCAGAAAAGTGCTCTCCGGATGCCCTTTTGGTATATAAGACATTAGAGAAGCGCCCTCTGGATGCCCTTCCAATGGATATAACTTAGAAATTGAACACTTTTGGTGCCCCTCCTGTGGTAACAACCAAAAGTAGTGCCATTTGAATGCCCCTCCAGTTTATGAACCTTTAGAAAAGTACTCTCTGGATACCCCTTCAGTGGTTACAAAAAAAGTAGTGTCCTATGAATGCCCTATCATAAATAAAACAATGAAAAGTTGCCCTCTGGATGCCCCTATTTTACATGAATAGTACCCTCTGGATGCCCTTCCTACAGTTTCAACAAAAGTACCCACTAAGCAATAGATGGCTATTACACGTCTAGTTATTTTTTAGACGTAATTTCAATCGTCTAGATTCTGTATATCTGTAGACGGAATTTAGACGTTGCACTTTAACCCGCTATTCGATAAGTATTTATTTCAAAAAGCAACTGTAAGTTACATAACTGATCTCCAAGTACTAAACCAAAATAATTGTGATAGCCATTGAGCAATATACTGGTAGACCTCTGTTAGCTGGGTAGTCTAAACTCGGTCTAAATTTAGACAACTGAAAACTGTCATTTTTAGACCTGTGGTAGCCTGATTTTAGGCAAGTTGTCTAGATTACATTTAGACGTCTATTAGACCTCTTTTAGACCAAAAAATGCTCAGTGGGTAGTGTCATTTGGTTTCCCTTCCAGTGTTTCCAACAAAAAGTAGTGTCCATTTGATGCCCTATCGTAAAATAAAAAGTTAGAAAATTGTGCTCTAGATGCTCCTCTGGTGGATGTAACATAAAAAGTGCCCTCTTGATGCCGTTCCAGTGGATCAAAAAGTGAAAAAAGTGCCATCAGGATACCCTTCTGGTGGATTCAAAATGCAAGTAAATGCTTTCTGAATGTTCCTCTAGTAACCCAACACTTTGGGATTCAAAAACTACTTCAGTCTCATGACCTCCAGGCTTCCTATTATTTAGGATTGCCAGAATGACATGCCCACCATTTTTCACAGACTAGAGTCAGCGTTTGAACATTCTAATGATCACACAAGACCATGTAGAGACAGAGGAGCTCAAAAAAACCATCTTCACAATGCAGCTAGAGATGGATCCTCATTAATCACAACTTTTTGAGCAGTAGTGCCCTTGTCATTTTTCTCACCCTGGCCCCTGAACAGCCTGACTACGCCTCTGCTTGAGGGTCAAACTCATTTATAATGATGTTTTTGAAGTGATGCATTATATATTTACAAGTTTATCTGCCCTCAAAATCAGAAGACTGATGTTCACAGAATATTTGTGTTTTTACACCATAGAGTGAATAAAACTGCAACAGCATTTGTTTGTAGCATTAAATCTGGTAGTTTCTCAGTTTCAGCAGCAGCGCAGTGATTCATCGCAGCCTTGGTAACATGTTATGAATGGTTCTGTGAATGGAAAGAAAAAATCCATCTTTCATAGACCTACATGAGACTCAACACTCTCTTCTATTAGTACCTACAGTCCCTGAAGTGGGGAGCACACATCGGGGTGTTAGAACTGGGTTAAGTGCCCAAATAGACACTGGCAGGTTGATGTATGGTGTTTCTGCTCACCTTTGCTCTGCGGCATTAGATAAAACATCAGTTTGAATCCGTCATCTGGACATAAGCACCGCAGCTCCACAGCGACACAAAGCAGCCCAAGAGATTTTGGTGCAATGCAGCAATGAAACGAAGTAAGAAATGTGTTCTAACTAACTTTGAACACGGCCGGCTGATGAGACACCGACTGCCAACGGCCATGGATTCATCTCAACACCGAGCCGGGGACAAAACCCTCACCATGCTGTGGCTCCGGGACAGTAATCGGTTGTTAGAGCGCATCATTACCTACAATAACATTTACTCCGGTTGTTTAAAGTGTAAATGCAAAAGGGAGCAATTTTAGAAGCTGATGTCAGTATTTTTCTTGAATCAGGGCGGTTCCAATGCTCATTTATTTCACTTTCCCTTTAAGGATCTAAGTGGGTCTACTGTTAGTGCAGCCGGTGAATAAGATATGTTACAGTCCTCAGTGGGAATAGAGCAGTTTGGCAAAACAACTTGAAACTTAAGCACTTTTCTATTTGAGCATTAAAAGAAGAATAAGGAAAAACACAGCATAGTCCTGTTACCTCATACCCAGGTTGGGAAACGTATGCATTTTTAACATGTAATATTTCTATGTTTTAAGTATTAAACCCTATAAACCTTGATTATCTCGCTAATTATGGTCATTTCATAGCTCCTATATAGTGTAGAATGTAAGACAATGCACTTAGTTTGTAGTAGTAGTAGGAAGGAGGCCTGCTATTAAGGAGTTGCTGTAGTCAATGTGGGATAATACAAGAGCCTTTACCAGGAGCTGTGTCAGGTAGAGTCTGATCCTCCTGGTGTGGTAGACAAGTCAAGAAGTCAACTCCATACAGTTTCTATGAAGAAGGATGGCGGACAAGAACAGTGGGGGTTTGAGGCAGCCCAATGCTTCAAGTCCAGGATCTAAGGTATGTACAGTTAATAATTTATCCTAGGACGTGGCCTTTATCATTTGTCAACACTACCCACTGAGCAATAGATGGCTATTAGTCGTCTAGTTTTTTTTTAGACCTAATTTCAACCACCTAGATTCTATATATTTTTAAACGGAATTCAGATGTTGCACTTTAACCCATTATTCGATAACTATTTATTCAAAAAAGCAACTGTGAGTTGCATAACTGATCTCCAAGTACTTTACCAAAATAATTATGATAGCCGTTGAGCAGTAAACAGTTAGACCTCTGTTAGCCGGCTAATCTAATCTTGGTCTAAATTTAGATGTCTACAAAACTTTGATTTTTAGACCTGTGGTAGCCTGATTTTAGACCAGTCATCTTGGCTACATATATACGTCTATTAGACCTCTATTAGACCAAAAAATGCTCAGTGGGTATGATGCATCTAAGTAAGGTCTGCTCGTGCTGTATGGAGTTAACTTCTTGACTTCTTCTGCGGTTTTGTTTACATTTTCCTCTCTCGATGCACTACTCATCTAACCCCGCCCCCATGTCAAACAGAGGCCAGAATGTTTTTTAAATGCAGAAAAGTTGTGTACATGTAGAAAAATACTGTGAAAGCATAAAAGTTTTGTGAATGAAAAAAATTATTGTAAATGCAAAATATACCTAATTTTTAAAAATTCTGGGATCAATTATTTCTCGATTGTTTTGGACTTTGGATCCATGTTAAATGAATTATGCATAATTTTGACTATTTTTAAGTGTTTTTTTTTTTTGTTATTAAACAGCCAAAATGATCAGATTTAGTTGCATTTAAAAAAGAAATTAGTTGCTTTTTAAACAACTCTGAAGCTGACATGATAGCTAGGGGCAGCTATGATTTAAACTAAGCTAATGAATATGCCTCCAAGCTCCAGTGATGCACTCAGGCCTGAACTACACGAATGCGGATATATTTCAATCCACACATATTTATGTCCGATTAGGCCTCCCTACCACACCAAAACGGGAGTTTGGAGCACTCAAACCGGATAGATCTGAATACGGAAAAACAAGTGGAGAAATAAAAAAATATCCGTATCCCGTATCCGTAGTGGATTCGTGTGGTTGGACTTTTACGGATCGATGACGTCAAACCGCAGCTCGCGCATGCGAATTAAAAAGAAAAACAACAACAACAACGATGGCGGACAAACAGGGTATTCTTTACATTTGTTTTGCCCTTCTGGGGCTAATTTCAGTCTTGCAAGTGAACCTTGTTTTATACAATTACATCCACCAGTCAGCCAGCTCATAGACGCGTCTGCTGCGGCCAATACTTTTATTGGTCACATGGTCCGTCACATGGACCCGACGCACTAGCGTAGCTTCCGCAAACAATGCATGACGCATCACGCTGTTACGATTCATCGGCCAATCAGGTAGCTTTGTTCCTGAAATTTTTTTAAGCGGCACCAGATAGGATTGAGTTTGAAGGCTACTTGTGGACGCAGATATTTTTGAGAACTAACACGTGTGGACAGATACATTTATTTAGACGGGAGTACAAAAATATCCTGATAAATAAATATCCATATGCGTGTAGTTCTGGCCTTACATGATACTAACCTCTCCAAATAACTGCATTAGTAAAACAACAACCACAAGTCCTCTATGGAAAAATCAAATTTCTCTGTGAAGCCACTACAGAGTTAATGTGCTTGTAAGGAGCTACAGAGAGAAAGAGGACTATCACTGAACTCTGTGGATTTCCTTCTACAGCCAAACTATTGCGGCTTTCCTAGTACCTTTAAAAACGTCTGAGGCAGAGCATAGGTCCTGTATATTTGTGTGACACGCTGCTGCTGTTCCAAAGAAGCACCCACAGCTCATCAAAGTTTTCGGAGCTTTAATAACAGAAAAAATGCTTCTACAATCGCCAATGATTTAAACGCACACATCAGATATACTATGTGTACACTTTGTGACATGTATCATTGCAAACAAAGAACATAAAGCGCGGTCAACAAAAATTACAGCTACCTAGGCTCACCTCTCCACCCAAGTGCAGGTAAGACTGCCCCTCATATAACCTACCGGCTTTCAAACACAGTGCCCACGTGACCCAATCCCAGCAAAACCAATGGCAACCAGACAAAAGTAACTGAACACAGGATAACCAAAGCAACATTATGGTGTCTACACCAAAGAATGAGCTGAAATCACAGTCAAACAGCTCTTCCAGTGTGTGTTCAGTCAAAAGCTGCATAACGACACAGTAAAAAATTCTTGTGTGGATCGACGTGCTCCGACATAACCAAACTAAAGCAAAGTTCTCTTTACAAACTTCCCAGAACTCATTTCCAGTGATGCAGCTCCTCCGACTTATCATTTGACAGCTGAGACTAAAGGCTGAACTCCGTGTTAGACCTCATGATTTGCTCTGAGAGTTTCTGCACCAAATGGCCGAGAAGAAAATAGCCAATCAACTGGCTGCGCTGCAACACTGAGAGACCTTTTTATTAAAGAGGGAAAGTGAATAATGGTGCAAAACAGGCAGAAAGGTGTGTGAATAATCCTTGCTTTCTGTGGCTTCTCCTCCGTGACCACCAGAATCCGCCTCTCTTTTCTGTCTGTAAATTTCAAAGTTATCATCTTGATGGCGATGCGGAATATGAACGCTATCCCTCTTGTGTTGACATTTTATTATTCATGATAGGCTCGCTGTTCTCCTCCTTATGCAAATGGTCATTATTGCTGACATTTAGCCGTCTTTGAGATAATTCACTGAAGTCCAGTCTGGACGGAGCTGCGACTCTGTTGAAGAAACCTATGTGGAAATTTCACACAGCATGTTCTGCTGATATAAGGGATCCACATACGTACAGCTAACTGTGCCCTTCTCCCCCCTATAAACACACAAAACCATTTACGGTCAGTGTTATTTCCCTCCGCTGTGATGCAGTGATCGGGGTTATTATAACAGCACCTTTATGATGTGATTTTAGCAATCAGCAAAAAGTCCTGCGAGCTCTGAATCAGCAGAGAGAGGAAATGATTTCCTCGCAGTCGTGCTGTCATGGCCCGCTGACGCCGTCCGGCTACGTTCATTAATCACTCACGAAGTCACACACACACAGCAGAAGCATGAGCACACATACCCACATTCACACTCTGCAGGTGTATGCTCTTGGACCCTGAAGACACACTCCTGTGGTGCAGGGTGAAAGTAAGTAAATGTCTTCAGCAGGACGTCCTTCAACTCCAAAAATAAGGAGATAGATCTGTGTCTTTTAAGTGTGGCGCAGCTTTGTTCCAACGAAAGTAAGACGGATAAGATCGCAGATCTGCATGTGACCTCATCCTGGTTAACAGTATGTAAATGCAAGCGGTGTGTGCAGAGCCCTGCAGGCTTTCTGCAGAGCCCACAGATGGCTGCAGTGAGCGTTTGCTAATGCACATCGTGTGAATGAAAGTACACGCCAAGCTCAGCAGATGCTACATGAAGAAGTCAGGTTGCGGTTTGGGGAGAAAGAAGCTCAGGACTCACCCAGTAACCCTACAGATAAATATACGACTGAAGTTATATCTTACACTTAAATTCACACTCTTTGTGGTTCTTGATTTGATCAATGCAGACCCGAGTTTGTCCTCTGGGAAATAAATAGATGAGTCAAACACTTGAACACAGATGGGAATCACACAGACGATCTGCTGCAGCTTTTCATGCTTTTTTAAACACATTTGTTTTGTTACTTTGATTTTTACATCCTTCCATGTCTTAAAAATGCACACAGGCTTGGAACAGTAACATTGCAGCAAAGTCTCACTGCACAATATCATGTTGCCCTTTTGAAAGGAAATTTAAACATATTTTTAATGCACTTTGTTCAGCAAAGCGGGAAATGTACTCATCAAGACTACATTTACATCTGCATGCAGAGCTGACCAAGAAAGCTGAGTTTCCCTTTTTTAGGGCCTGCAGTGTGAACATGTGCACAGTATACACCGTCAATGCAGGTGAAAGTTACCCAATCAAATAATTGTTTTAAAAACACTTAACTACCTGAAAAAAAATCCCTCAAACCTTGTTGCATGAGTGCATTCAAAAACACATGGGTGGAGTTTCTGCTACTTCATCTACATTTAGGAAATATTCACTTTTTAAACTCACACGCTGCAGATCCAAAACAGTCAGAGCTACTTTGTTACTGTCTACCAATGATCACGATGCACCACATTCATGCGTCTTCAAGCTTCGTCTGCTCTGCTGTATTTCTACAGCAATATACTCAGCAAGACTACACAGACTCAGGTATCTGAGTCAGCTTTAACTGTAAAATACATCCTCCTTTTCCCTGAAATTCTCTGCAGCTAGATTGCAAAACAAGAAGAGGCAGAAATAACCTCCGGGTCTACATCAAACAATGAGGCTGGTGGCAGAAACACAAAGAAGACGAGCAACAAAGCAGGAACTTTTTAATGTCTGAGAGCGAACTCTGATAGATGGAGTAGGAAATCTGTGATTAATCCCGGATTTTTTAGTGAAAAGCACATGTTTTGAAAGAAGCAGGTTTAAAGTAATACTAAATCTGACCCATGATTAAAATGGTGGGTAGAGTACACCTCCCTTCAGTTTCATGTGCATATATGTAAAGAAAACCGCAGCAAAAACCCCTGAGAACAGAGCAGGCTGGGCATCAGGGACAAAACATACATAACACAGCACAGAGGAGGAGCTGAGTTGGAGGCAGCATGCCTGAACTAACACTACCCTGAATTTTAAGATGAAATGATGAAAAATGGGCTGAAACAGGTTGAGAAATGTGACAAATTCTGCATGGTAAATCAGGAATTTGCAGGGAATGAGGATGTTTCACAGCTGGATGCAGGTCTGAAGGGAGCTGTGAGAAAACTGAGGTGTATTTCAGCTCCTGAACATCAAATGAAGAAAACTTGTTTTCTCTATTTCCCCCAAAACAGGCAGATGAATGAGCACTTAAAACACGGAGCCTCCAGAGGCAGAGACAGTAGAAGAAGAAGCAGAAGAAGCAGAACTGCCGGGAGAGCTGAATATCCTTGGGTTTAGATTAAAGTAATGAACATGAAGTACGTTAAGAGGCAGCATCAGGTCTCAGAGAAACATAGAATCCAAGGATCCTCAAATGTAGTCCTGCAAATCTATCAAGAACATCACCTCTAAACAGGTTATCCTGCTGATGCAAACACACACACACACACACACACACACACACACACACACACACACACACACACACACACACACACACACACACACACACAAACGGGCACACACAGCTGCCTGATTGCCTGGATGTAATGATGGCTGTGAGGGTTTACAGACCGCTTGAGACCGGCCAGCTGCTGTGGGGGTCCCTGTGTGGATGCCCAAGCTGCAATCTGACAGAAAGTCAGTGTTGGTGTGTTCATGTGTTGGGCTTGTAATCTTTTTTTTTTTATCTTTATTATTTTATAACAAGTTTGAATCGTTAAAAAGTCTGTGGTCTAGTTTTTCCTACAGTCTTCTAGAGGACCATATTCCTGCTGGGTCTACCTGACAGCCCATGAGCACAGTAAACGTTAGCTACAGCTGCTACATCTTAAAATCGTGTTTGTATGGATTACTGTTGTGGAGGCACTAATGCTTACACTGCTGACTATCTTTACATAAACTTTAAAAGCAAAAACCAGAACCAGTAAACCGCTCCTAATTGGTTGGATAAATTTCTGACATCTTAGAAAGTTTGGTCTGTTCTAGGGCTGGGCGATATGTCCTCAAATCAATATCACGATATATTGATCAGTTCACCTCGATAACTACTCCACAAGCTGCTCACCCCCTCCCATATTAACTTCGTCTACTTCAGCTGCTACAACTTTTGATCCGTCCTCCATCTCCTCACCTGTCTTTCTGCAGAAACTTTGATTTATTTATTTATTTGATACCGAATAATAATAATAAAATAATAATAAAATAAAAAAAATGACGTTATTGTCGTAAATTTTGGTATCTTTTAAATTTTCAGTTTATCGCTCAGCCCTAGTCTGTTCAGAGTGAAAGCAGAAACGCAAAAAGTACTTGAATTACAGATCTTTTTCCTGCGCGAAATGGTAGACAGCGTCTAAAAGCATCATGGAAAATGGGTGAGCGTGAAAAATTAAAATACACTCCTATAGACAGAGATCAGCCGTGATGTGCAACTTAATCACAAATTCTAGATTTTTTTAAAGGAAACTTTAGTGAAGTTTGTCAAACTTCTGTCCAAAGTTAACACGTACAGTCTAGGCCCTAAAGACATCTTCAACAATCAGTTCACACCGTAATATTCATAAAATCAGACTCTATAAGTCTGACTTAATGTAACCTCACACCTCATCAGCTGTGATATAATAATAACTAAACAATCATTAATATCTATGGACAGACGTCTGCAGTTCAAAATCCACCGCCACAGAAAACATGGAGAGATTTAATCCAAAAGTATGAATCTGGTTTAAGCTGCTGTTACTTTCCCATGAAATATGGATTTAATTTGTTTAAGATACCTCCACCTCTCATGGTATTTAAAAGCTAAAAATTCAGCATAATTTAGACTTTCAGGAAAATTTAAGGAGCCCTGCCCCCTTAATTTAGCTTGTTCACCAAGTCATGATTGCATTGTGGAGTAAGAGGGGGAAATGAGCCTGGGGAGGCAAAACGTGACGTCAGGAGCCTTGTACAAAAGCCTGGGTGTGATGTGTGCAACATGGCGGCCGAAAGAACAAAGATGAGAGTTTCTGCCCTTGTCTCAGTGTTGTGTGCAAACAGGCAGATGTGCATATGTGTTCAGTGTTCTCGTCTCTTAACTGATTCTCCCTCCTCTACCGCTGATGTTTTTAATCATCACATCAAATCATCACACCTGCCCGCTCACTCGCTGTGAATTCTCCTTAATATTCCTGCAGATTTATCAGCTCACCCTGAGTCCTTGTGGACATTTTACCTCAGTCCAGAGCCGGCCCAAGGCATAAGAAAACCATGTGCCTGCTTAGGGCCAATAGGGGGCCCCCAAGAGCAATTAAAAATAAAAAAAAATGTATATATTTTTTGCATGTATGAGTGATGCTTTTTACGACAGAGGATTAGGGCCACATTAAGAAAAAAATATTAAGACTTCTTAATTACTTACAAGAAGAAAGTCGTAACAAAATCAGTATTTACGAGAAAAGAGTCGTAATTAAATCATTTCTTATGAGAATACAGTCTTAAAGTAAATGAAGTCTTAAAGCTGCTTTTGTGGAGGAGGAAATGGCTGAACTGGTCAACTGCAGAGTAATCTGTGGGTTATTCAGAGAGCTTTTGTAGTTTCTCAAGAAACAATACAACTAATGATCAACATTTGCGATTCAGAGAGAGTCCAGCTCCGATGAGCACTGCGTCTGTCTCTGATGCCGGCACAATACCGGCAGCAACCTACACCTGCAGAGGCACCAACACCATATGGCATATGGCATATAGATTCATACAATAAACTAAAGCCTTATGCTATTGCTTTAAATGGCTGCATTGAGGGATTTAGCCTCTGCACAGCCATTTCCATCCATTTCTCCCTCCTAAAAAGCAGCGATTCCCTACAAGTCCACCTGGTTCTTTCTGTGGAAAAGATGCATTTCTTGCATATGTCCTGATTATGACAATGTGGTGCTGAAACACCAAAGGATTTAGTATCTCCTTGTTTGTGAAACCTAGCTACTGAAGTTCAACTCATCTGAATGCTCCACAGCGCTCATATAAACAACTAACAACAGATTAGAATAGCTATTAGCTGCGACTTTATTCTCCTAAGTAATGATTTTATTACAACTTTATTCTCGTAAGAAATTATTTTACTACGACTTAATTCTCGTAAGATATTACTTTATTACAACTTTACTCTCGTAAGTAATTCCAAGGTCTACATTTTTTTCTTTTCTTAATGTGGCCCTAATGCTAAGTCGTAGCTTTCTGTATGATCAAATTTTATTGTAAAAATAAAATAAAATAAAGTAAAAGCCTTTTAGTGCTGCTGCTGATGTAGGCCTATGATTCTTACTGCTGATATGTCAAAGCTCCGCTACCATTATGTGCCTCCTGCTGTGCAATGTGCACTGAGCATCAAAGTGCAGTTAGTTGATGGGCAAAAAAATGTTGCAAAAAAGGACATATCCTTCGTGAGCAGAGAAAAGAAAGAGGAAGAAGAGAAAAACACCAGGATTTAGGTTGATGTTAATCAAAGAGATTTGTGAAGGTGTGTAAATGATCAACAATCAATATTCTTGGCAGAAATTGAGGGCACCAAAATAAAATTTAGCTTAGGGCCCCATTGAGGCTTGTTGCCTCAGTCTGGAAAGTCTGGAGAGAAGTTCAGCCAAAGCTGAGGATGCAGGTAAGATTTGAGGAGTTTTAGGCGTGTGAATACAGAGAGTTTGTTCATGTCTGCTCTCATAACATCTCTCTGTTCTCTTCTTCTCTCTTGGTCTGGTTGCACATTTGAACAGCTCAGTGATGCTCCCCTCTCTCCTCTTTCCAGGCTGCTGATTGGCTGACAGATTGCCTCCTGGCTCTCATTAAAACATGTGGTGGGGACCCACAGAAAGCCAAACCCCTCTTGTGTGAGTCTTTGCCAATGAAATATAGATGAAGCAGAGATATGGGGCACAATAGGAGAAGGTTAAATAGAGCGAGGAGAAGCTTTGATTGTCATCTGCGGAGCTAAAGCAAACACGGAGGTACACAGAGCTCCAGGCAAACATTCATTTACCGACTATTCAGAGTGAGCCTTTATCCGGTCAGAGAGCTATAGCTGCCTCCGAGCAAACACCTGGCTGGAATTTTCCTCATGTTTGATCCAATCAAACTTCACACACAGCCTCGTGGGGCAGCTTTATGCAAAACTCATCCCTCACTTTCCCCCCTTCTTTGTTCCACGACTGCAGCTTCCACGCACAGACTCAGCTCAGCCCACAGACCACGTATAGGAAGCTCCATCAATCACCGCCGAGTCTTTTGACGCAAGTCTCGTCCCGTAATTAGATTTTCGGGCTGTCCTCCTGCAGACTGAGAATCAATCCTCGTGCAGCGCGGTACAGCTAGTTGAGTGTCCGCGCGCGCTGCACCGTGCATTAAATCCTGAGTAATGGATGCATCTGTGGCGCGTGCTCACTGCAGATTCACTCGTGTGCGAGGCTGCTCTGCGCGCGTGTGTGTATGTGTGTGCGCGCGCGCAAAGGACGAGAAAACTCGGGGTTGCCTCTGCCGTGCGCGCGTGCCAACTCATCTTAAACACGATTTTTGAGCACGACAGGATGGTTACACACCCAGACACACTATCAACACCAAACACAGAGAAGATGCACCAAGTCAAAAAATGTGCTTCTTAAATTGCGCAAAACCAAATTTCGTTCGTCTTATTTTGCTGCGTTTGGAGAAAAAGAACCCAAAACTATGTAAAAGTTGATGAGCTTTGGTTGAATAGCGCCACCTTTTCTACATTAAATATGGATTATGTGATATAAATGCGTATCCTCGACTCACTTTCTGATGCTCATGCGTGCAAACTCTTAAAAAGTTCCCAAACTCTTGCGTCAATTACGCGCACACGGATATTATTAGCACCTTTAAACACGAATACAGACCAGCGCAGACTAGTGTCCCCCGAAATCTGCAGTTTCCATCTTGCATTGTAAATGATCCAAAACGATGAGATCTATATTTCACTACAGGCATAGTGCGGAGGGAGATGATGAAGTTCCAGTTTGGCTGCAGGTTGAAACATAAAGACACACTTACAGTGCGCAGAGGAGCATGGTGCATCGTGCCGAGTGAGCAGCCGGTGAGTCTCTCCCCTCTCTTTCTCTTTAAACAGCAACAGGGAGAGAAAGCATCGCGTCGGAGATTTCTTCTTTCTTGTCTTGAGCGATGCAGCGGTTTCTCTGCTGCAGTCCAAGGAAGAGACGAGAGAGAGGCAGAGGAGGAGGAAGAGGAGGAGGAGGAGGGGAGGTGGGAAGCGTGAGTGTGATGGTAGAGGAAGAGGAGGAGGGGGGATAGCAGGAGTAATAGGCAGACTGAAATCAATAGGCCTGTATCCTACAGACAACAGTGAGCGGTTCCGTATAACACAGGACAGCAGTGATGCAGGAGGGCAGGAAGAAGAAGAATCACAGACTGCTGAGATGATGAGAATAAAGAGGAGGAGGAGGAAGAAGTTAGCTGAGGGATGAGGGGGGCAGGTGCTGTCTGCAGCTTCAACTTTAAACCATAGTACCCTAAAACACACACACACACACACACACACACGATTATACAAACTCACATAAATGATCAGAATATGTCTCTTAGTCGCATTATAGTTCATCTTGTAAGTTTTTAAATGAGATCTTACAGAGATACACTTACCCTCCAGCTCCAGCCAGAGTTAGTTTTTAGTTTATTCTTAGTTTTATTATAAACATGTCATTAAAAGAAGATTATTACGAGTAATGCAGTTAAAAATGGTGCTGAAAAGCTTATCAAAAATTAAATAGACATTACATCAATCATTACAAATAAGTTAAAGCTCCTGTGAGAAACTTTCAGTTTATGTCATCTTTGGCGCCCCCCTGTGGACAAAATGGTCCCAGCCTCTATGCCTAAAAAAAAATTCAGACTTTTGACAGTCAAATTGATCATTTATTGTGAATGTTTTATGTGAAAATTAAAAAAAAACAAAAAACAATATGAACATTATAAATCTTGTTTCTAATGTTCTTTAATATCATAAAAATCATTACAATAAATTTTAGTCCAGGGCTTGACACTAACTTTTTTCACAGTTGAAAAAGTAAGGATCAAACAAAGAACTTTAGGGGCACAATGAAAATTGATCAAATAATGTTTGTCTTATTGGTCGACACAAAAAAAATGTTAAGAGGACAAATTAGAGAAATAAGACTGTGTCTTATTGTCCAACCTTAGTATTATTATTTGAAATCAATTTTAGGTCAATTGGTCACATGACATGGAAGCTATTGAAAAAACAGCCTTTTTTTGCGAACATCAACCAGTAATTTATTGATGGTCCCTTACTCAACACCTGATGTTGACAGCGAGGGTGCCGAGTAGATTTAACCGCGCTGCTGTTGCTATTCCCCGTTATGGAACGTTAGAAAACACCAAAAGATCCGCATTGAATGTCCAGCGAACCAACCAAAAACTAACTTCACCGCTGTATTTACATGAAAAAACATTTGTTGCCTCGGCTAATTTTTTATATCCGCACATGTGCCCCTAAATACATTTTCCAATTCACACATATCTATTTTTGGTCACAAATGTAAGTGAAACGGTCGCACTGTCGAGCAATGAAGTCTATTTTATAAAAGTCCTCACAGGAGCTTTAAAGAGAAAATATGAATGTCTGATGTATTTTCATAATATCTAAAAGCAAACAAGACCATCAGTAACAAGATTTGAAGTTAAAAATCCCAATTTTTAATACCTGAAACTGGTGAGAGGAGGAAGCTGAAGAAACAGCCTAGTTTAAAATTAGGGCTGGGAGATAAACCAAAAATTTACCGATACTGAAATTTACGACAATAACCTATGTCATTTTGCCCATATCGGTATATTTGGTGTCAAAAAAAAAAAGTTGGTTTTGGATGTGTGTAGGTAGGCTATGGTCTCATGTCCCTTTAAGATGCTGTCCTACATCAGAGACGTGACTCCACCCCATCCAGTCCGTAACAAAGAGGGAAAGACAGGTGAGGAGATGGAGGACGGTTCAAAAGTTGGAGCGGCTGAAGTAGATGAAGTTAATGTGGGAGGGGTTGTGCAGCTTGTGGAGCAGTAAACTACTCAATATATCGTGATATTGAGTTAAGGCCATATCGCCCAGCCCTAAAAAAAAGTGACATGAAAAAACTCTTCTGAAAACACCAACTTTATAGTTATTTTGTACAGATATTCAACATGTTTCTTCTATGCCAATTGTCATTATCTAAGACTCCCAGGATTTAGATGTATTGGACTTGTTGAGTTATTTTAATGTTGCCAGTGAATATTTTGGCTTTCTCTTACAGAATATCATAAAATTAGATTATTCACTGAGTGGGAGTTTGTTCTCTAATCAGGTGCAAAAATCTTCATGTGAAGCAAGAAGTAATGTGTCATCAGCATATAACAAACATAATGCACTTTGACAGACCCCTGTGTGGATTATTTAATGTATATCAAAAACACAGGTGGTCTAAGGATGTCCCTTGGCTCTAACTAGGATTTGTCCATTTACAGATGCAAACATGGCTTATGGTCCATTTTTGAGGCAATGATATGATGGTGTTTAATGATGATTTCAAAGTGTGTACTTAATGCTTGTTGCGTTGCATATATCTGCGCCCTGAATTTCTGTATTCGTTCCACTCGCTGCTAATTGTTCCACCAAACAGTTTGAAGCTAGAAGAGTTCAATGAGGACGTCTGAGCGGAGAGAGAGAGAGAGAGTGTGTGAGCAATCCCCCAAAAAAGCCCATCCTTCCCGACATGACCAGAGAAAGAGCCATTACCAACTGGAGTGAATGAGCTCCCCTCTGCTCTGCTCTCTCAGAAAATAACCATTACGGGGGGAAATCTCGAGCAGCGAGGAAGGAAGCTTGCGAGGACGTCCGTCTCTCTCTGTCTCATAAAAATGCAGATACATTTGCATTTCTATCCGGCAGCTGTTGTTTAATTTGAGGGCTGAAATGAATAAAACCAAACACACACGCTCATATTATTCATATCAGGACACGCCTGCACACACACACACACACACACACACACACACACACACACACACACACGCACACAGCATAAAAGTACTCCACTGGCACTAACTCACTTCCTGCATTAACATTACATGAGCCCCATTCACAATGTCAGGAATCAGGATCTGGGCATGCAAATGTTTCTCTTCATCTATTACCCTTTCTTTTTCTGTCTTTTCCTTTTATAAACCTCCTCATACAGACTTTCTTATTTCAAAAATAGATTTTAGTTTGCAGGATTTTAGCAGGTGAGTGGGCGGACACTAAAAAATACTGGAGGAAAAACAGCAAGACAGGAAAGACAGAGGCGAGTTTAGCTCGGAGTTAGAGCTCTGAAAAACCAAGCAAAGAAAAAAAAGCTGTACGAAGACCTGGAGAGGGAATAGTGATGCTTTGGAGCTGGTTATGTACTTACTTTTGAAGGCTGGAGTTACATCTATGCAAGATCTGATAATACCAAACACATGGATGATAAGGATGATGATGATAATTGAGGGTAGTGCTAGTTCAGGCAGGCAGGTTTCTATAGAAAGTCAATAGATTGGCATGAAAGAACCACCTTGCATACACTCAACATAGACTCGGACTCAGGTTAACTTGGACTCAAAGTTTGATGACTCTTCTACACTGCATTAGTCGTGATGACTGGTCGGTACCTTCATGTGATCACTCTTTGCTTGGCACAAATCAGCAATCTTGACCACAGCACAAAATGTCTAAAATCTAACCATTTAAATTTAAGGCCTTAAAATGTCAAAAATACTCTTCAGACCTCTTAAAGGTCTTAAATACAATTTTCAAAGGTCTTAAAATGGATTAATGTTACTTACAAATAAAGACTGATTTGAAGTTAGTCTAAAATGTTCTGATTTCCCTGCATGTCTTTTGCACTTTTTTGCCAGTATGGATGTAAAATGGATCTTAAATTGAGTTCATTATGGTCTTAAAAAAGTCTTAAACCCTGAAACCCTGAAAAAGGGAATAGAAGGCAAAATGCCCTCTTTCAAGATCATCTTCTTGTTCACCAAAGCAATCGGCAAAAGCATTAGCGAGAGGCTAACTGGTTGCACATCAAGCTTCCTTTCATGCAGCTTTTTCTTTTTTACATCCCTTCTTCCTTTGATGAGGTTTTGTTTACCACCTGACCTCTGACAATGTGATTTTGTTTTTTAACTTCATAGGTAAAGCTTGTTTTGCAAATCGCGAGGCATACCCAGAATACATTGGCTAGTTTTGATCAGGTGTAAACATACAGCGCAAAAAATGCCCAAGTTTGTGAGTCTGACTGTGAGACGAGGGCTGGGGAATAAACTGAAAATTTACCAATACCGAAATTTACGACCAAAACCGACGTCATTTTGTCCATGTCAATATACTTGGTGTCAAAACATAAATAAATAAAGTTTGTTTTGGATGTGTGTAGGTAGGCTATGGTCTCATGTCCCTTTAAGATGCTGTCCTACATCAGAGATGTGACTCCACCCCATCCAGTCCGTAACAAAGAGGGACAGACAGGTGATTAGATGGAGGACGGTTCAAAAGTTGGAGCGGCTGAAGTAGATGAAGTTAATGTGGGAGGGGGTGAGCAGCTTGTGGAGTAGTTATCAACAATTTATCGTTATCAAGGCAAACTACTCAATATATCGTGATATTGATTTGAGGCCATAACGCCCAGCCCTAAATAGGAGGCAACATGCCGTCTTCTAGCTTATTACTTACTACTTACTGAACATACTGACTGTTAAAGTGGATGATGGTTTGAATAGATGTAATATAACTGGAATAACAAAGATGACAACTGCATGAATTTATTTAAGTATATTACATATGAGTATATTTGATCACATGTGTAGTTTTCCTCACGTTCGGATCAATAGGAATGACCGAACTTGACATTTTGGCGATTGTCTCTAGACCTCCAAATACGACACCGTTTGGCGAGTACACTTGGATATTATACTGTGAAACTGTTATGAGTCATTTAGCTGGATGAGTGATACGGAGTTAAATTGATTTCTAATTATACGCCTTGGTGGGCGCATAATTTCATGTGTTAAAAACAAAGGGGGTTGTTAGTAAGGTCTGCTTTAAAATGCATCAGGATGCACGGCTTTGTTTTCCCTGTAATTACACACACCACTCATCTTCCTGCTCATACTACACACACGCACACACACACACACACACACACACACACACACACACCTTTGCAAATGTACTTTGAGAAGGAGGTAATTATTTGTTTTTGCTGTAACTTCCAAACCACTGAGTTAGTACTTCGGTACATGACTCTTTTCAAGGTTGAGATGAACACTAAACCGTAAGAGGTGTTTGAAGAATCGTTTGCTACATTAATT